ATGACAGAAGTGAAGGTAATGTATCCTGGATGGGATGGTAAAAGACGCTACGCGCTCGCGGACTTGCGCGCTATCGCGCGCGAATACGCTAACAAACCAATGACCTCTTGCACAGAACTCAGCAATTACCTGCGCGCATTCAGGAAGGTTATGCAGCCACTCATGGATGAAGACCGTATTGGAAAGGCCGAACGCGACCACCTATTCATGGAAGGAATCCCTAGCGATGCTCAGGCGCAAATTCGCTTGCGCCTTATGATCAAGTTCCCTGACCACCATCCATACGACCCATACCCATTCATGGACATCTTCGCAGCTGCGCAGTTCCTATTACCTGCGCGCGCTTTTCCCGCGCCAAGCGCACCAGTAAGCGCACCAGTTAGCGCACCTGTGGTAGCGCCAAGCACACCAGTGCAAGCTAAGGTAGCTAAGTACAAAGATCGCTACCACGCGTGTCGCGCAACGCAGGATACGACCATTAGCGCTAATGCAACAGCTGGACTCTTCTATCGCGCACCCTCAGATGTTGTACTTGACAGAAAGCCACCAGTTCCTATTCACGTGCCTCGCGCGCGCGCCTTTCCCGCGCCTACGCGCGATTTACGCGCACCTCAAGCATCAACTGCGCCAGCATGCAAAGCTATATCAGACTGCATTACTTTAGATCACGAACTCGAACGCGCGCTCGCAAAGCGCGCTGCAGGCGCCTCTTCACTATCATCCTCAGCAGCATCATCTCTTTCACAATCCGCATCATCTCCATCACCATCAATCGCATCAGAAGTCAGGGATGACTCTAAACATCTATTGCACACTAACGCGCCAGTTGAAACACGCGCACCTATCGCTATCGCATCGCACGCGCCTATCGCTATAGCCTCGCCATTAGTCAGGGATGACTCTAAACATCTATTGCACACTAATGCACCGCTAGAAACACGCTCGCCCCTCGCTATCGCATCACTTAAGGAAGAAACCTCGCCAATCGCACCATCACCATCACTGCTCGCATCATTAGAGGTCAGGGATGACCCTAAACATCTATTGCACCTTAGCGCGCCTATAGAGGAGCCTCCTACCGCATCAGAGGCTCAAGTTGCACCTTGCATCAACCAGAGTTTGTCTCTGGAAATTCCAGATGTCACTCGCGATCACGCGCACATCGCACTTTTTGCTTCCAGTGACTATCGCATGCCAGTAAAGCATCCATGCATCACGCCATCTAACCACCAAGCAGAGCATGTCTCAGGCGACCCTGGCGCGACTCAGGCGCACCATATTGCGCCTGAGGACGCGCAATGCGCGCGCCTAGAGGCACGGTATATTTTTCCTCATCTTGTTTCGCATTTTTTGTCTTTTTCATGTTTGAAGCTCTTAAGGAGCTATATGACGCTTCCAAACACTTTAGGTTCATCTTTGCACCACCCCTTGTTCACGCGCCATGATTACGCGCATCGCGCAATACGCGTGCGCGTTCCCGCGCCTTGCGCACTCATAATTTTAGCAGAGTTTTCACGCTACCGCATTTCTATCGCTTCTCCCCTTCTAAACCGCATTTCTATCATTCAACACAAAGTATATTTCAATCAGCCATCCAGGCGCGACTTAGGCGCGCGCCTGACACATACATATGCGCCTAACTCCCCTATCATCATCTTTAACTTTGCACTTCCCACATTTATTCACATTCTGCGCGCTTTTGCTTACCATGTCAATTTCATTCCTGCGCGCCTTGATGCGCACTATTCTCCTTCACCTATGCGCCTATTGCGCCTTGATATACCACCCTTACAGCCCATTGGCGCAACATTTGCGCCTAATTCTTCACTATACATGTCTCTCGCTAATGCATTTGCAGAGAAATGGCCGTTCCTCGCGTGTTCGGCCAATATAATTAAATTCGCGCGAAATCACACCAAGGCGCGCACATCGCGCGCATCCTATCAGCTTGTAGGGCGCCCCTACACCCCTTGCAGCGCCTCCCATTGGCGCGCCTTCAACCTGCAGCGCGTTGTGCAGGAATTCATTCTGCCAGTTACAAGCCCCCCCCAAGCGCGCCAGCCTCGCTCATTCCAACCCTACCTTGGGTAAAGCGTCAGCTCGCAAGAGACGCGAAGCGCGCTAGTCACGCGCACTCGCACGCGCTCAAGGAGGAGGATCAAGCGCCTCAGCCGCGCATCAAAGGAGGAACATATACCAACACTGTTTCATAGGATATTGTTTGTTTTACCCTGGGTTTCGTCCAGCGCTCTTTCATTTCATTTTCTCTCATTATAACACTGTCCAAAAGACTAATAACACACTGATATATATGCATATAGGGATTGCCTAGAAGAACATAGAAGAAAAACAACCATAGATCGTGCCCGCCTAGCTCAATAGTATTATTTTCTCTTCGCACGCATGACGCGGCACCATGCCCCTTTTTACCTTAGAACGCGCACATATGCGCGCAGTCTTCCCACGCTCACACGCACATACGCGCGCAATATTCACGCTGCCCATACGCCTCGCGCGCGCACACATGCACGCTTCCCGCGCCTTGCTCATAGGAAGGTGTAGATGTTGACAGCTGCACGAAGAAGACAAGTCGGATAGGACATCCGCAAAGTCTACCATTTTCCCTTCATATTTTCACATATAGTTTTACTCACAATGTTCAAACCTTTAGCATCTAATATTTAGCGCGCCTAGCAGGACTTGGTCTGGACATGGATTGGATCGCTCCTGGACTGCGCCACTTTGCATCATACCCACCATACAACACATGCGACAATCACGCGCTTTCTCGCGCCTTGTGCGCGCGCACTTTCCCGCGCTTTACGCCATATGCGCGCATCTCGCCCACACCTTGCGCGCCACATCCATATCACTCTCGCATCATTGCCCCACACCCATGGCATATTATTCACATCAGAGTCACCCTCGCAATCCACCATGCTATGCTCCATTCCCGCGCCTTCATGCATAGCGCGCGCACATTCTCGCACCTCGCGCATACCATGCGCGCGCACCTTCCCACGCCTTTGCACCTTGCGCGCGCCTGCGCTTTCGCATACATTGCATATCACGCGATAATTCCTGCACTCGCACATTCATCACCCAACAACCAAAGCATCGTACAAGCATCGCACTTGCATACTCTCACGCAAAATCCTCACCACGCGCGCGCTGAGTGGGGACACTCAGAATTTAAGTCCCTGGGAGATGTAGAGACTCGTGTGTCTCATGGTGTGATATGGCAGGTTTCACTAGGAAGTATACAGCACAAACTCGCAGCGTCATTCTGTGCGCTACCCACAGCTATCTCTATATGACGCGCAGCTTTCCCACGCAATGCGCGCCATGCGCGCACCATTCCCGCGCTTCGCGATGTATACGCGCGCGCGCGTTCCTGCGCTTGCGCGCCCTATAGCGCCAGCCATTCAGATGCATCCATCCACTGTCCACCAAGCTTCCTAGTACATATATTTCCATTTCCTTTATTAGCATAGTTCCACCTTTATTTTTATCATAGTTTCTCACTCATATATATCCTTACATACCTACTCGGTAGCGCTTCGGCTCCGCATGACCTGCGCTTAGGCGCGCTATATAAGCGCCAGCAGTACATACTATTACTTAACTTACTTTTTCCCTTTAACTTACTAGTTATCACCCACTATTTACTTAGCAGTACATAGTAGAACTCCATTTTGTCTACACTTTGCATCTCTCTTTTCTTATATTGCATCATATTATCACTTAAGCTTAGTCTCTCTTATTACCGCTTACGCGCGCGCGCTTTCCCGCGCTTCGCGCTAATACGCGCGCGCTTTCCCGCGCCTTCGTACCTTGCGTGCACCTGCGCTTTCTCGCGCTTCGCGTTGCCGCGCATACCTCTAGATCTTTGCTGTACTCACCTCCCCTTTAGGGTCGAACGCACTTGTCTCCTCAAGCAACGCAGACTAGGCAACGCGCGACCTTACAACTTTTACAGATACAGTCAGGAGCTTCTTTTGTTCCTCATTGTATTGTTGTTTCTACACCGGTATGGCCCATTACTGCCCTGAGGCTGAGTAGTGGAGTACCACTTCCCCTTCTGTCACATTCATGTTTTTGACGGTTGTTTTTGCTCACTTTCTATCTAGATTATGTAGCCTAGACCCAACTCAATGCTAATTTTTAACAAGTCAATTTTGAACTTCAGAACCCAGTGTGATTTTGAAGCCGTTCGAAGGCCTTGTCGTCATCTCCTACCACCCTCCTGCCTCCGCCGCCATCTTATGTCCCCCATCCAGCTTCAATCCAGAGCCCAGTGTGATTTTGAAGCTGTTCGAAGGCCTGTTGTCTTCTCCTACCACCCTCCTGCCTCCGCTGCCATCCTACATCCCCTGTCCAGCCTCGATCCAGAATCCTGTGTGATTTTGAAGCCGTTCGAAGGCCTTTTGTCGTCTCCTACCACCCTCCTGCCTCTACCGCCTGAACTTTCAGGTGGTTTCAGAGCCGTTTGAAGGCCTAATATGCGCAACTTCATGTATTGCTAGTATACTTATGACAATGTAAAAAAATGTTCTCTGATCACACCTCTGACATTGCTTTATTTACTTTGTGACTTTTTTCAGGTGAGTAATATGGAGGAGGATTAGATGGAGGAACGAGGAGAATTAAACTGTGGATTAGAGCTAAGTGAAGGGATAGCAAAGGAAATTTTCGAAACCATAGTAGTAGGGCGCCCATTGTAGTCAAGCATAGTAGTGTCCAAGTTGTGGCCAGTGCAAAGTGATTATGATAAAATATTTATCAAAGGAAGCTTCGAATTCTATGGGACAAAATTAAAGCCAAAGTTTAATGGAACCAATGAAGTAGTCAGTTGTCCAAGGGTTGTGGAATGGACGCAACAACGGATCATTAACATCCGGGTGACCACGCAAGATATCATTCCTTGTTGGTTCAACTGAAACGAGAGGGCGGAAGAGTGGTCGATTAGGTATGGACATTGCAGATGAATGATTCCAAGTCTACAGGCCTGTGAAGACTTCTTGTAAGTCAACTTTCTGTTCTTCATCTTTAATTGAAGGCATCACAGTCAGAGAGCGTAGAGCGCATCTCTGAGTCTGCGGTGAGAGTGACATTCCCTTCAGACTAATGGGCAGCATGTCAAGACCGTTATCTGAATCTGAATCGGAAGCGAAAACTGTAAAATCTTGAGTGTTAGACGTCCACTGAGCAGATAGAAAAAAGAACTCAAACTTGCGTTTAACGTGACTTGAAGAGCTTTCCTTGTTCTCCAAATTTATTCGAGATGTTGATGCGATGGGCTGACCATGAACTGGTTTATTTTTTTGATACAATGTAAGCGGTTTGTTCATGTAGCAAAATTACAAGATAGTACTTACTTCCGTGCAGTCTCTTTCGAGCTGGTTCTTCGTGTTCGGTGTACCGGATTGAGTGTTTTGGACACGCTGAAGTGAAAAACGATTCAGTGACTGTGATGGTGCATGTGAGCACTTTCAAGTCCACCAACCAGTCTTTGGAGCATCTGAATCCTCAGGCTCATCATTTCGATCTTCTCCTGCCTCGGAATCTATATCAATGATGATCACGTCTGGGTCCCATTGTGCGCAAATGTGCTCAGGTATGTACTTCTGGTTAGCTGTTGCATGTAGGTCGGTTAGAAAATCTCATCCATGATGAGCCATTGATGGCAGGCTCACCGATAAAAATATTAGTCGCTGCAAGAGGTGCGTTATTTCTGCCTCTGTACTGCTCAAGATGTTTACCGTTCGGCAGTGGCTCAGGTGCAACACTCAGCCAGCGGTTTTCTTTCGAAATCAATGCCCACGATGCTCCGTTATCGACAGCCTTCCCCTTTACATCATCATTCTTTATGGAGTCCAGGTACTCAAAGACTTTTGGAAAAAGTCTCCGAAAATATTCTTCGACTTCTTCAAATGTCCAGTCTGGGCAAAAGCTGAAATCCACTTTATTGTCCTCAGGCTCGTCTTCGTCAAAGTGAGCACATCCCCTTCGCTTGAGTTTTGACATCTCTGTCTTCACAGGTGGGACCCTGCGCACCAATTGTCCTTTGTCCTTTCAGTTGCTGAGTAAGCTTCGAGTCGTAGCATCGGCTTGTTCAGGTCAATGTACATCGAGGTAATTGATCAAGACAGTGACAGTGCCAACTCTAATCTGGACCTGTTGTTGCTTCAATGAGCTGCTGGCCATGGCCCGTCTTGAAGATACAACCCTGCTCCCCTAAATGAAAGCTGAGTATGCTCAAGGTAACAAACATTAGGCGATTTTGCTCACTGTGACTTTCTGCTTTATAGTTGGGCGGAATCCTGCCATAACTTCACTTCTCGTGGCTGTGACTGTCTTCCGACTGTCAGTCAACACCTCACATTTGAGTTCCGAGCCTTGCCTAGCACGTTGGGCAAGTGATTGCTTGTATATCGCCATCACTCCAGATCGTTCCTTTGCTGTGGCAGCTGCTGGTTTGGATGGCTTCAGAGCACCTGGATTCAGTGCAGGAGGCACCAATGGCTCGGCCACTGATGCAGGCTGTTGAGGTCGAGGATGTTTGCTCTTCCCATGCAAACATTCGGTGCAAAGCTCTCTTTGGCCAACAGGAACATTGGTGGGTGCAGAGTACTCTTCGCAATAGCACATTTCTGGTTCGAGATGATTACCTTTGCAATACACCAGATCTGACATTGCGAGTCGGACAGAAGAGAGAACCGGATCAAAAACGGGTCGGTCAAGTGCGGGATTTATACACAGTGGGTTCCTGGCCATTGTAGTACTCCGACCATGATCCATTAATATATTGAATTAGAAAAATACATCTGCTTCAAAATGCTCTAGCACACTAACTGCCTGAGCCCATAGCATCAAACGAGTCCTCCAGATAGGGTCTGCCAAAGATACTTCAACATATATCTCCCTCCGTCTACCGACTCATAGATGTTCTGTTGTGTTTTCGTCATAGTCATCCTCACCCTCCTGCAAATTATATCCCACTGGTATGGTACCCTCAGTAATAACCTCGTCGAGTATCTCGAAGAATATATTTTCATCATCTTCATTCAGAAAAGGGGTATTACCATCAGGAACATCAATGGCATCATGTTGGACATTGTTTTCTTGATCCTGCTCGATACGATGAATAACACCATCTTCCTCATTCTCTAACTCATCATTTGGGTGGCCAGCACCTGTCTGATTGAGATGGCGGATTGTCTCTCTGCCATGAATACCATAATAGCGCTGCAGAGTTGCAGGATGGATCCCCTCAAACTCATCTTCATAGATGCCTAACAATGCCTGTCCTAGAAGATGCATATCCTTCATAGTTGTCAGATAGCAATTATGCCACTGCACCAGTAGTTGCTGAGTAAATATTGACCTGAGGGCTTCGATTATTGGTCTCAGAACCACGAATCGGATGGGAATTCCATTCTTGTTGAAATTGTTGGCAATCATCATTGAGTGCACTTGAGAAGAGCACACTAAGCAACCAGATGTGCCCAGGTTTGTCAATGTCGAGCTTATGAAGTCGTTCGAGCCTGGTAAAAAATCCACGCCATCGGTGTGCAAACTGTGTGCCCACTTCAACCCACAGCCATTCAATGTGAGAATTTCGTGTTGATCTAGTATCATGTATTGTTAGTCATGGAATTTTTCAAGAGGCTACACTTACGATCCCCATAAAAATGAGCCACGATTGTGGCCATTTGTTGCAACTAAATGTGTAGCGACCTGAAGGTTCTCCCCTCCACGATCTCCACGAACACGAGATGGCATACCATATTCATCTCTTGCGTGCATGAACAGTTCCAATACAGTTGATGCATGATTATTTGTGCTGGCCCGTAGCGCTGTTATCTGTTGAAATATCAGTGAGTTACTATGCTTTCCTTATCATTAACAATAAATTCACAGTGCGACAATACCCATCAATAAATCCATGGACAACAAAACCCCACTGAATGAGCTTGTGATGACCATCTACATGCCAAAGCGCATTTGGTCGAGCAACTCGGTATTTTCGTCGTCTGGTAACACGTCGTTCTCTCAGCCTTTGTCCTAATCTATCAACTCGGCGCAAGGACTGCCAAACACGGTGCTGCTGGGCTCTAACTCCTTGGTGCTGAAGGAAGCCAACAAGGTAACGGAATCCTGATTCTGGTTTGCGTTCCTTGAAAACCTTCACAAGTTGATCGAGATCAGCATCACTAATTGTTGTGAAGCATTTTTCAAGACCATGTCGGCGAACAAATTTCCACACAGTCATGCGAGACACTTGGAGGAGTCGGGCAAGCTCTGTGAGTGTGATGTGGCGCTGGTTAGACAGGGCTTCACGGACAAATTCAAGGTTGATATCTTTTCTTGGATGCCCTCAACGTCCATGACCTCGGTCCTCAGTCACAAGCTGTGGGATGATAATGTTCGACTGTTCAACATTTTCCCTACATAGACCAAAGTGACAGTATTGTCAGGTCAGCGGATCTAAATGAGTACCATGAGTATCACTCACACATGGGTGTTTTGGCTGATCTCCTCGAGCATTCCAGCTGCTTCGCCCACAAGACTAGTAGCCACTCATGAAGAAGCTGGTGATCAGCATCACTTGAATCACTTTCAATGGCATCGAGTAAGGGTAGGGCCTCTGAAGACAGTGTATCGTAATGATATGCAACTCTGGTTGGTTCTGCATCATTTGACCGAAGCATTCTGATTGCACCATTGTAGATATTACGAACGATACCATCCGCAGTATGGATATTGTGTGGCCATGGATGTTCACGTTCCGGTAAAGCTGGAAGGTCCATACTAGTCCGCCAGCAGTTGCATTCTAGACATGATGAAGCGAAAAAGAAGCAGTGAACCCTTGTGTGGTAAGCGTGACTTGTCTACCGCACCTCCCACTAGCTCATACTACATTTACATTCTTCAAGTTTGTGCTCTGAACTAAAGCCTCATAATATTCCCATCTCACAGATAATCAGCCAAGACATGTTCGAGGCTCAAACAGCCACATTACTAGCTCCAAGCCTCCTGAAGTTTCGACATCGTCGTTTTTATATATACGATGGTACTCACATTTTCCTGGTGCAGATTGTTCACATATATATGCACTCAGTGATTCCCCATGACAATACTAATAACTAAATGCAGGTCGAAAACACATTATTCAAAGTCCACGCGACTCAGTTATCGCGCACATCAATCACATTTGAGGAGATGTTTGCTGTCGGGGGGCAATCACGACCAACAGAGGGCACAGACGGCTCGAGCGACGATCACCCAATTATAATTCCTGAACTCAGCATGAACATGTTCGAGCTCTACCTTTCAGTTGCATATAACAGGTAAGATAAATTTTCATGTTAGTACACTGTCTTCTAATGCAGAATTGCACAGTTGGAAATCAGGTCCTACCCATGGTGATGTTATTGACCTCCTATGGTTCAGCAACAAGTTCATGAGTCAAAAAACTCGTGATGTTGCCATTCATCACCTTCATGAACAACGATTTCGACACAAACCATACGACCTTCTCGCACTCTGTCTCGAATTCTCAATTACAAAGTTCTTTGTTCCCGTGTTTCAACATCTCGTTGAATTTCGCATCCGAGACATTCCAGGACCAATGCAAAAGAAGCTCGGGTTTGAAGTGTGGAATGCCCTTGTCGATGTGAAAGAGCTTCTTGATGAACACCGTCGCATTGTTGCCTGCGAGGAGCCGCCTCTTATTGAGCACACTGCATGCTGCACCGACAACACTGCATGTTCCATTGACTGGCGACAACTCTGGTGGAACTCAATGGCCCGTTTCCTTCTTGATGGTCGCAACCCGCAAGCCTTCCATGAGGCCGTCGATCGTTTCCAGGAGCTGGGTTCTGAAATTGGGAGGGTGAACCCAGAGTGTTGGAAAATGCTGCTTCAAACAGTGAAGAAAGGAACAGCATTTCATCTCGCTTATGATCTCGTTGAGGAGACGGCTCAGCAGCTGTCAGCAGCTCTGATCACAGAGCCTGACCAAATGCTGACACGCGCAGAATTAGATGCTTTTTCATCAAATTAGTAGTCTCATCGTGGAGAAACTTATAGATGACTACATAGTAGGCTATATAGCCCTGTACTACCTAAGTACTATGTGCATCATGTTGTCTTCAAATGTTGTGTGTATGTGTCGGTGCGTTGTCGGTGAGTGACTGTGTGCGTGTATCGTGTGTCTGTATGTGTATTTTATGTGTTGAATAGTTGAACGAATCCAGCGCCATAGATCCAGCACCATATTGCTATGGCGCTGGATCTGTTCAACTATTCTTCACACACAAAACTCACACACATGCACAGATGCGATGCAACACACACACAAACGAGACGCACACACATAATCACTCCTTCGCATACACACTCTTGTATCGTAGAAAAATTAGTACTGCACTATGATCATTCATAAAATTCATTGATGCCCCAAGGTATCCAACTCTGCACGTGTCAACATTGAGCCAGGCTCTGTGATCAGAGCTGCCGACAACTGCTGAGCTGTCTCCTCAATGATATCAAAAGCTAGATGGAATGCTGCTCCTTTCTTCACTGTTTGAAGCAGGGTCTTCCAGCACTCTGGATTCACCCTTCCAATTTCGGACCCAAGCTCCTGGAAGCGCTCGACAGCATCATGGAAATCTTGAGGATTGCGACCATCAAGGAGAAAACAGGCCATTGAGTTCCACCATAGTTGCTGCCAGTCAATGGAACATGTGGTGTTGTCAGTGCAGTATCATGAGTGCTCAATAATGGGCGGCTCCTCGCAGGCAACAATGCGGCAGTGCTCATTAAGAAGCTCTTTTAAATCTACAAAGGCATTCCATACTTCAAACCCAAGTCTCTTTCGCACTGGTCCTGGAATATCACGGATGCGAAATTCAATGAGACAGCGAAAAGCAGGAACAAAGAACTTCTGAATTGAAAATTCAAGACAGAGTGCCAGAAGTTCATATGGTTTGTGTTGAAATCGATGTTCTTGAATGTGATTGATGGCAACATCACAAGCTTTTTGACTCATGAACTTGTTGCTGAACTGAAGAAGGTTGACAACATCATCATGAGTGGGACCTTTGGGTTTCCAACTATACGGTAATCCCACATTTAGAATAAAGGCGGAAGCTTGAAAACTTGTCTTACCTGCTGTATGCAATGGAGAGGAACAGTTCAAACATATTCATGCTGAGTTCGGGAATGACAATTGGATAGTCATCACTCAAGCCTTCCAAGCCTTCCATCGGCTGAAATTGGCTTCCAACAGAAAACATCTCCTCAAATGCAATGGATGAGCATGATAATTGAGTTGCATGGACCTTGAATAGCGCATTTTCGACCTGCATTTTGATTGTTAGTATTGTCAAGGGAAACCAAGTGAACAGAACAATCTGACCAAGAAAATGTGAGTACCCTCAAGTATATGTTACAAGTAACATCGGCTACTCTGCCCCCTATCATTTTTCCTTCATCCTCGTCCTTGCCTACCTTCAGCTTGTACCCCTTTACCAACTATCCGTTGACCGGATCCTCGGGACCGTTCCCATCCCTCGTCTCCCTCCTATCGCACCAATGTGTGCACGTGCCTTCAGGCTATGACTTGTCCTGACTCGTGCCACCAATGTGGCTTTCCTTATCTGCTCTTATCTCCTATCCGACTCATGCGTGCTGCGCATTGTATCTCTTACCATTGGTTCATTCCAACGTTTCTCGGTCTCATTCCGCATTTGACCTCCCATCACTAATCAGGCTATGCTGCCATCGTACCTATACCCTTTATGTTTCCCCTTTGCCCTTACACTGCTAAGTGCTGCTTTGGCCTGAACCGAGGTAGTGCGAAAGTTATATAACACACATAGCAACATGCTAGGTACTAGTTCGATTGGAGCCTTGCCACATAAGTAATAAATTTAACCTGCACAGGGTACATATGCGGTATCTATGAAAGGTTTTATCCCAATCCTGGATGATGACTTGGTTACAGCTGGAAATTCGTCCAAATCAGGGCTAGTATACACCCTTTGCAGTGCATATATCGGACACATCGAGGTCAGTCATATAGAACAGTCAAAAATTAGACCCTGTGATAGACCTGTGACCCAGCTAGTGCTAATATCTGAGTGGCCTGTCTCACATCTGTGTGCATATTATACGCTACAACCGCTGCATCCATGAAAGCACCGACAAATGGATGATCTAAATCACGATCTTGGGCGTTAATGGTACCATTGGCACAGTAGGTAGTATACATATGATGCAGACTAAAATCTAATTAACAAATACATATTGGCGCACAAACAAAAGTGTCATAGGTTAGTCGACAGCAAGAAGAGGCAAGGGGTGAAAGAGCACAGTATGTCTGTTGAATTCGGCCCTTATGTCATTGAGTAGGGCCACGAGAGAATGTTCGCCCTCAAGTTTCATGGCATCAATATCATTTGACCGTCCCAACCACTCCTGAATAAATGTCCCCTCCACAGGAATGCGAGGGTCCCACATTGGCCATTTGCCTCTGGGAAATAAAGGGTATGCTGCGACAAACGTGAGCCAGAAAGCATCGCATCCCCATGTCCATAATTGAGACCTAGTGTCTACATCGTTCACCAACCATTCTTTGATCTCCTTCGATAGTGTGGCCCATTCCATCGGATTAATATAGTTGAAGATTCGTTGGAGTGGGAGGAATGGAATAATGTCATCCGCTTGGGAGGAAAGATTGTTGTTGGCTTGACTGGGAGTTGACTGCACAAGGTAAGATCTACAAATATTCAGTGCAGAATTTAGAACTCACATCATCCATTAATGGTGAATTTGAACGAGTAGAGCAAAGATCTACTGATATGGCCTCCATAACTGGGGAGGTAAATGGTCCATATTCTTCGGCAACAGAGACCGAAATGTGGACAGGCTATCATGCATAATAAAGAGCAAGCATGTTTATAGCGACAACAAGTACTCACAATATTTTTCTGTCGAACTGTCTGCTTTGGGAGCTGGCCCGAAAAACACACCATAAGGAGGATGCGCTGCAACAGTGTACCGTCAGAACTATCTGACTGACTTTCTGGATTGATAACGGTCGAAAAATGGGTGACTTTGTTGCTCATTGTGCAGAGTTGATGAAGATCAAGTTGTGATTGGAGACATCACGCCGTGGGACTTCAGACTTGTTGATTTCAAAGACAAAAGCTCACGTGATCATCAGCGACTTTCGACGCTGATCAAGTCGCCAAGTCCAGACTTCAGTTCGGCATGACACTAAATAATGCAGACTTGGTTGATGGTATTGGTGCGTCTTTCGTCTCGTAGTATGAATGTTTTAATGAAATGATACTGCAGTCCTTCGATATTCCGATAACACCCGAAAGCGCATCCAATGCACGGTCTGCCCTCTCAAGCATGGCAAGTATCGTTTGATGGAGTTTCGACATATATCCAAACACATCGTACAAGGAGTCCATGTCCATCGCACTCAAATAAAATGTTCCAAGCAGCGCCGAAAAGTCGTTCAGGCCACCGCCCATACTAATGATGTTGACGCCAATGACTCCTTTGATATGAATACCGACTCTCCGATGGACACGAATTTCTATGACGCGCCATCATCTATGGTGCCTGTGTCAGTGGAAGATAATGGGCCCTCCGAATCTGAACTTGGATTATCTGAGCTTTTGCACGAAATTGGTGACCGGACGTTCGGATTCGACAAGGGACCTTTGGACTTGTTTGCAGAACTCAAGGCAATTATTACTACGGGTGAAGTACCGTTCTCAACACCACTTGCCCCAATCAACGACGAGCAAGAACTTTCTGATGACAGCGCTGATTTCGGGATAGAGCTTCCTGGTGAGTGACATTATGATTAGTTTGGCAAGCCTACATTACACTACTAGATGATATCTACGAAAGAACGAACATCAAGGACACTGTCCCGCTGGATAGTCCAACATATCCTTGGCCGTCAAAAGTGGTTTGTCTCTCTTTGTGTTAGAAATATTGTTGTACTTAAATCTACATTAAGCATTTCGTGACCTCACTCCTTTTCAGCTCTCTGCGTCTCCCATTTTCTGATGCCCAGAAGAGGGCCATTCTCAGTTGGGCGCAAGAGCTCGGCGCTTGAGATGTCCCTTCACTTGGCGCCATCAAAAAATCCCATATGTATCTGGATAACATTGTTGGCGGTTCAATGGAGAAGGTGACAGCTCGCTCTGGGAGTGTATTCTATATTAATGATGTTGTGAAATCAATTGCGAAGGTATGTTCGGTGTGTTTGTATGCAACAGTAACTATGACGCCATGATTTAGGACTATGCAAATCCCCTCACTTGTTTTGCAATGGAAGATTATCCGGAAGATGGCAGGGAGGGGATGTCGCAAGTGTTCAACAGCAAGAAGATGTTGCTTGACCTGCCCTCACCACCCGCGGCTCGTGTGGATGGAATGATCTATTTCACAGGTGAACTATTACAGGATGATTCTGGAGGGTATTTTATACCAGAGCACTTTTTTCATGCCTCACTACCTGTAGATTCAAGTGACGATGGCTCTGACCCATGCGAGCAGTCAGATGGCAAGGCCTTATATGCGCTTGGTCGGGTGGTTGAACGAACGGAGGTACGTCTCCTTGTTGTGAAGGTATCTGGATATACAAAGTCCTCACTATATTAGGCTGGATTAATCGTTAACAAGCAACACGAGATCATCTCAACGTCCATGTTTGTGCGATCGTTTGAAGAGATTGCTGCAACTCCAGGCGAGCTCGACTGTGGCCTTACACGTGTGTTGATTTACATTCATCGCACCAGTGACTCGCTACTCACAAAACAACAGCTTCGTCAGGAAAATATGCATCACTATCTCCGAATCCACTGCATGCTAAGTCTAATGGCCGGATGGTTCATACGGTTCCTCTCATCATTTTTATGGACGATGTTTCTGGCAATGTCTCCAAACAATGGAACAAGCACCACACGATCTATATGTCAAATGCCAACCTACCGCGCGAGATGCTCGAAAAAGAATTTTTTGTACGATTTGTCACATTGTCGCCGCACGCTGCTCCCATGGAGCTTATGAGGGCCATGAAAGAGTCGATATGGTATGTTGTTTCCTTTATCTGCTGAAGTTGAAGTTCTGACTCAATCTGCAGTAACGCCGCCAAATCAGGTATAATTGCCTGGGATTGCAAGTATAACGAAGAGGTTTTGTTGATTCCGTACACGCTCTTCCTCACTGGAGACAACCCCATGCAAGCAGAAGAATGTAGCCATGCCGGCTTAAACTGCAATTACTATTGCAGGACTTGCGATACTGGTGGGATGAAAGAATATAAGGTGTCTGGTGACGGGTACAGCAGTCTTTTCATGGTAGGAATATATTTGAACTACATTCTAATAGCTAATATTGTGCTTACAGTCAGGTAACCTACAAACGCCTGAAAATACAATGGCAGAAGTCTGAAAACAGTTTGAGATTGCGCTGAAGTCAGGAGCGTCGGAGAAGATCAAGAATTCGGTATCATCGACTGGTATTCGTGATTCCACTTCTAGTTCGATCCTCAATGTGTTAGTAGAGCTCGGAAAGAAACTTCGAAAGTGTGCCGCTGGTACCCAAGCAATGCCAGAAGCCGAAGTTACAGCTGTCCTGGAGAAAGAGTTCATATAACTTTTGCAAGGTCACAAGCTTGATGACGCTATTAACCCATTGTTGGGAATGGAAGGTTAGTTTAGTACTCTAGTGATTTTGAACTCTCATTCATGCTCTTAGCAGGCCTCGATATACACATGGACACTCCAACGGAAATTCTGCACACAATACTGCTTGGTATCGTCAAGTATTTTTGGGGGCAAACCGTGTTTTTGCTCGACAAGGCAAAGCTCATGGGCATCTTTCAGGTCCATCTCGAGTCTGTTGATAAGGACGGACTCAACGCTCCATGCTTGAATGCAGACTATGTCTGTCATTACAAAGGCAGTCTCATAGGGAAACATTTCAAAAGCTTGGCGCAAGTGATGCTGTTTTTGATTTATGATCTCGTCCCTTCAATTGTTCTCAATGCATGGACTGTGATAGGAGAGCTCGTCGTACTTGTCTGGCACACGAAGATTGTGGATACGGAAGCTTATCTTGTAGGTTTATGCAGAAATATGTGATAACTTTAGTTCATTCTTTTCTAGGCAAAGCTGTCTCAAACAATTCAAGATTTTCTTAATGTTACAGCACAGTGCGCGCCTAGCATCATTATAAGCAAGCCCAAATTTCATTTCTTAGTTCATCTCCCGGCATATATTCGACGTTTCGGACCAGCAGTGATATTTTTGACCGAACGATACGAGTCCTTCAACCATGTATTTCGTTTGTCGTGTGTATACAGTAATCGCCAAGCACCAAGCCGCGACTCCTGCTGAACATTCGCTCATAAAGATATCGTCAAGCACATTGTCACGGGTGGGTATTGGTACGATAACAAAGCCTCAAAATGGGTCCAGGGAGGAGCGCAAGTTCTAGGGTATCTCGATGAATACCCAGAGCAAGCACGATTGCTCAGATTATCGGTCTTCAATCGTAATACTCCAGTACCTGGTAGTCCTAGCTTATTATTTCACTCTATCACTACTGACTCTTTTCACACAGGTTCTGGGAAAGTTCAGACTTCTCTTGGTGCCAATGGAAAAACGGCAAGAAATGATATAGTAGCCTGGAAAGAAACTCATTGCTTGAAGATCCTGAAAACTGCCCAGCCTGACATCACTTACTATCAAGGCAAATCAGTCGTAGCGAGGGAAGGGGATATCGCATATCTGAATAGTCATGTTATTTTCCACCAAACGACCGATGGTCAGGTGAGTGAATTCCTCACTGTATGGTTCTTGATTAATTGTTAGACATGCATTGGACGTGTTTGCGAGATCCTCGTATCATCCGAGAATCCGAACACCGTTGTTCATGTTGGACTCCAGCTCTTTTCATTCACAGACACTTTACATGCTTCTGTCCATCTACCCTGTCTGAACCTGATTGATGACGAGGTTGTCACACCGGTGGCGGTAAATTTGATATCCCATTGATCGTGTGTGCTATTTCTGACCCTTGCGAGGCTATAGGATATCATATGTGTCATTAATCTCCAGCACAACTGTGTTGATTCACAGTGTACAGACACCATCAAGGAACCTGTGCGCCAAGAATGGCTCGAAACTTCTCATACAAAACCTATCATTCAGCACAAGTCAACACCACACTACTTCATCAATGCCTACTCTATTCATAACTACGATCATATCAATTATGTAATTCCTGAGACACTTCGTGAATCACCGCTGAGGGTTATGAATGTCGCAGAGGTTCGGGAAATGGCCGTACGACAAATGAAGCAGAAGAAGACTCTGAAGAAATCCGATGACGTACCTCAACTAGATGCTAATATAGGAACATGATACCCAGATCCCTCTGGTGGCAGTTCCCTCCTTCAATCGGGCCCCTCCCAAGTCAAGGACTGCTGCAAAATCAAAGGCAAAGGCAACCACTTCCGGCATGCGAAGGAAGGCAGCAACATTGAAGACTGGTCAAGCAACTGCCGGACCCTCTAGCCAGCTTCCGCCTGCTCAGCAAGACTCAACGATTCATATTGGAGATCACCAAAATCAAGCCTACTTTGCGCCGCCACCAGGATTCCCTCCTCCCCAGTACTACTACCCTCCTCACCATTCACAACTTCCTCCACCACAGCTATATGGTCCGCCGCCACTAGCTCTGTATCTTTACTCCGGAGGTTCACAACAACGTCATGAGGTTTTAGAAAGGTCATATACCGGTGAGTTCTTCGCCATTATTATAGCATAAAAAATCTAACTACACTCAGGCTATAACATGTACCCAAATCAACCCGAACTGCTACATCTACAGCCACAGCCACATCAACAGCAGCAACAGCACCTGCAATTCCATCCGCACCTGCACCTGCAGCTACACCTACACCCCCACCCCCACCTGCAACATTAGTTAGTGGTGGTGGCATACTGCAACTGCGACAGTGCCTGCTTCCGCCACCACAACAAGCCTTAATCCACTTCTCACCCGACTGTGACGATGCCTGCTTCCACTACCGCAACAACCCTTAATCCACTTCTCACCCAACTGCGACAGTGCCTGCTTCCGCTACCGCAACAAACCTTAATCCACTTCTCACCTAACTGCGACAGTACCTGCTTCCGCTACTGCAACAAGCCTTAATCCACTTCTCACCCACAGCACCAGGTGGAGGAAAAGCAATACTTGCTGCTCCCAGCGGTATCGAGGTTCTCTGGTATCTGTCACGCCAACCTGTCCTGTAGATGGAGGGACTTTGCTTTGCAGCCTCAAGAAAGTATTATCATATGTACTTATAATATGAATTTGGACCCCATCTCCCTCCTGTCTGATTTGTCTTGATGTGTGAGAATTGACGAATCTCGGTTGGGTGAATTGAATTGAATTAACGTAAACTCAATTAAGTGTGTTTTAGACTTTTGAACCAACTTGCAGCACTGGTTGTCCTGCTCCCTCACTGTCTGCAACATCATGATCTCACAGCATCCTGTGCATGCTCGCAGGAAACCACAAGCTAGGCAAACAACAGCAAATGGTCTACTCACACCTGGTGATGCCCTGCTTGGCCGAGGCAGGAGCATGTCAGCCAGCAGCAGACGATCTCGACCGCCTTCAGCATGTGGTTCACAACCGCGTGGTAATATCAGTCGCGCACGCTCACCTCTAGCAGCCCATCCACCATTGGCCTCAACTGAGATAGCTCAGATTGCTGCCATAGCTCCCATCAGCATTCCATGTACACCATCATCTGATGGCTCCCTCAATGAACCTATAACTATCGGTGTGCGTCGCCAAAGGGTGGATTCCAGTGTGAGTCTGGGTTGCCCTGTTACCCTTACGCCCCGCAGCACGAAACGGCTTAAAGTCTATGCAAATCAAGTTGCGGAGGAAGTTGGTGTTCCAATCACCAGTCTTCACGAGTTTATCAATGTATGTATTTTTTTTAACTTGCTGTAAATGTACATGATTTAATGTTCCTTCAGTGTGGAGGCATATACCAGATGCTTGTCAGGATTGTAGCCCTTGTGCTCAAGAACGACGGTGACGAAAAACTTAGATTGCTCGCCAATCTGAAAGAGTTACTGGGCTCTAAAGATTTCAAGGTATTATTTGCCGTGTCTGCACACATCACAAGTCTGACTTATCATTTAATGAGTCTGCACTTCAAAACTGTCTGACCGCATGCATGCTTTCGCCCAATATCACTGCATACGTGACAGATACACACCCACAGATCTTGGTAGATTCTTTCCAATGCTACGAATGGAAATTGAAGCAAACTGACACCGTGACAGAAATTCATCAAGAAACACCAAGATGTATTCAAAGTTCCGGTGTTGCTGTTCGAAGACGTGGAACTCACCGCACTTTTTGCTAAGGTTGTCAGCGAGTCTCTCTCTACAATCTGTGGCAATATGAAATCTAAGGTGCGTAGTGCTAATAATAATCACAAATTATTCTGAAATGATATTTTTTCAGTTGACTGCATCTATTGCTAAATGCACCAGTATCACAGACGTGGCCAGATCCTTCACCCATGGTTGTATTGAAGTTGACGCAGCTCATTGGAACAGGCTCGCGTTTTTGGTATGTTTTTATCACAACGAATATTATATAGATAGTAACCTCTTGAGACTAGCAATGCTGCTTGCGTGTCTACTTACTCGGCACTGATAACTACAAAACTGTGCCTCTGCGTACTCTTTACTCCCCCCTGCTTGTACCTTCTCTTCCGAAAGAAGTCCGCCAAAAAATCAGACCACAGCTTGGCATCGACATCAACAAGATAGAGCACAACATGCTCGACAGTGACGCCGAAGAGGACAACAATGACACTGATGCCTTTCAAGATGATATCGCTCATGAAAATGCAGCCCCCAGGAATGTTGATGGCGACGATGGCCATGATGGGAATGAGAACGTTGATGCAGATGCGGACCACGATAAGGACGACGCAGACTTCGAGGCTGATGTGAACGATGCGGCGGACATTAATGTGGACGGATCGATCGTCACAGAGAAAGACCTCTACACGGCGGGAAGGTTTTGGAATTTTGTAGACTCCTCACTCGCAGGCGTGCACAAGGCTGCGAAGGAACAAGCGATGGAAGACAAGGGTCTAGCGTATGAGAAAGCATATAGTGAGTAAGTTTCTTGTTACCAGGTGTTGCGCCTTGTTCCTGATTATCACGAAGCATCCTTGTGCAGTACCTACAGCAGGATCTTTCTGATTTTCCTGGAAATACCAAAGTCCCAACGCTCCTCTCCACCAACCGCCCCCAGTGGCAATTGACCATTCAGAACCAACTCCTTTGGAGCCACGTGTAACACTCGTTTATACTCTGCCTTGACACCATAGTAATCATGCCTGTATCTACTATCTACCAGTAATCTAATATTTTGTGTGGCTCGTTCCATTTATTGTGCACTCTTTCAGTGTGAGGATGGTGTGCGGGTGTCATCTAAGTATATTATATCTGAGAATTGAATCATATCAAGGTATCAAGCATATCTATATACAACATATGAAAGCTACCCTGTGTGACAGGTACGAATGAGATGTCTGTGCTAGATGTGGTATAAGATATATTCAGCACTTGTCATTTCCTATATAGACTAAAGCTCGGGTAACTAATATATTTTGAGTGTCTTGGTGATGTGTCTCAGTGGTCGTTAGTATATTTCTCAAGCCCCGCACATTCTCTCTTCACTAGGACTATAATATATTTATCTCCAATAAGTGGTGCGAAAGTTATGTGACTAAGGTCGTGGAAATATGCACTACAGCTTACTATTTTTGGGACTGTATAACAGATTTTCGGCAGCAAGTAGTGTACCTACAGTACGGTAGCCTTGCCCTTAACCCTTTCCACTTAGTATAAGTAGTTGGTCACCTTGTACTAGATTCCCTAACTTGAATCTACTCAATCTTCCCTCGAACATACTTCCCTCTGAAGCCCCCTCAGCTTCAGTCTCTAGTATCTTTTCTTAGGTGCTCATCGTGCCTAAGTCCACCTTGATTGACTACTCATCGTTCAGACAAGACAGTCCTTACTTTGAGAATGTCAGTGACTTTGAAGACATCCATCTTAGAAGTCACGTGACACGCGCGTCTCTGATATCTGCTGACTTGATGTCGCCAGTCTCAGTCGCTACACTGGACCCTTCTGGTTATGTCACAAACATTAGTGGACCACACCCCTCTTAGGGCTCCACCTAACAGATCTATTTGAGTGCATAACAGTATATAGAAATGGCGGTGTCGAAACTTGAGAAGACTTGGAGCCGATGTGCCTATTGTTGGAATCCCAAACATGGTGGTCTACTATCTGTGAGATTCTGGGGCTTGGAGTCTGAGTCAGAGCACAAAGGACGTAAATGTAGTACACTTACCACACCAAGTTTTTCACTTCGAGCCCCTTCAGTGACAAATTCCATATTATATGGGCCACCCGACCTCCATAATATCCCATATGAGACGGGCCAGCAGATTATGGGCCCATGTTGTGTATATTCTCGATGATGACGGATGGGCCAGGACACATATTATTTCCGATGGAGACGGGTGGGCCCATGTATGCCAATGATATATATATCCTTGATGTTGACAGATGGGCTGGGGGAATATGATCATTCATGGAGATGGGTGGGCCCATCTGGGTAATATGTAGAGTAGGATATTATAGACAGCTGGGCTGAAGAGAGATGTAAGGCAAATATTGTTATATAGATGGGCGGGCTGACGGGGGTGTATTACATATATGGGTGGGCCGAGGTAGGGGAATATTACATAGACGGGTGGGCTGACGTGGGGTGTATTACATATACAAGTGGGCCGATGTGAAAAGTATTACATATACAAGTGGGCCGATGTGAAAAGTATTACATATACGGGTGGGCTGAGGGTGCGATAAAATATTTATTACATAGACAGGTGGGCCGAGGTGGGGTATAATTATATAGATGGGTGGGCTGACGTAGGATGTATTACATAGATGGGTGGGCCGAGGTGGAGGATAATGCATAGATGGGTGGGCTGACGTGGGGGAATTGTACATAGATGGGTACATATATGGGTGAGCCTAGATATGTTCCATCAAGACATACAGCTGATGTAGCCACCAGCGAATCAAACACATAGGATACATGTACACTATGAGTGCATATACCTACCGTCGACCACCAAATCTAAACCCCTAAGCACAAAAACATGAATCAACCATGTGTGGCATTGACCAATAATCGAGGACGACTCATAAGAAAGCAATTACATGAAAACCAACAAACATTGAGACACTTTTTTGAGCCACTGTAAGCATGGACACCAGAAGCACAACACTCACAAAAATATATATATCAAATTTTCAGTGCCAAACCCCAAACCGAGATGTACCAACCCCCAAATCCCGAAACCTGAGACTGCCGGGTCTCGGGTTTCAGGGTTCGGGGGTCCCGGAACTTGGAACTCGGGAAATTTGGGGAGATCAATAAAATTTGATTTACAATTGAGTTTATTGACAAACACCTTGACTTACCCATGTTTGAAATATATTGTGTTTACACATACCAAGTTCCGAGTTCCGGACCCCCGAACCCGGAGACCCAGCAGTCTCAGGGTTCGGGGGTCCGGAACTTGGAACTTGTGAAAATTTGTGGAGATCGATAAAATTTGATTGACAAACACATTGACTTACCCATGTTTAAAATATATTTTGTTCTACATACCGAGTTCTGAGTTCCGGACCCCCGAACCCTGAACCCCGAGACCCGGCAGTCCTGGGGTTTGGGGGTCCGGAACTCGGAACTCGGTATGTAGAACAAAATATATTTTAAACATGGGTAAGTCAATGTGTTTGTCAATCAACTCGATTGTCAATCAAATTTTATTGATCTCTCCAAATTTTCACAAGTTCTGAGTTCCGGACCCCCGAACCCCGAGACTGCTGGGTCTCGGGGTTCGGGGGTCCGGAACTCAGAACTCAGTATGTGTAAACAAAATATATTTCAAACATGGGTAAGTCAATGTGTTTGTCAATCAACTCGATTGTAAATCAAATTTTATTGATCTCCCCAAATTTCCCGAGTTCCAAGTTCCGGGACCCACGAACCCCGAAACCCGATGTAGAAACAACAATACAGAGAGGAACAAATAATGCTCCTAGCTGTATCTATAATAGTTGAAGGTCGTGCGTTGCCTAGCCTGCGTTACTTGAGGAGACAAGTGCGTTCGACCCTAAAGGGGAAGCGAGTGCTGCCAAGATCTAGAGGTACACGCTTCAGCGAAGCGCGAGAAAGCGCAGGTGCGCGCAAGGCGCGGGAACACGCGCGTGTATTAGCGCGAAGCGCGGGAAAGCGCGCGCGCGTATGCGGAAAATGATAAAGACTAGACTCAAGTGATAATATAATGCAAGAAAAGAGAAGGGAGATGCGAAGTATAGACAAATAGACTTCTACTCTATTCTGCTAAGTAGTAAGTAAGTGATAACTAGTAATTGGGAGGTAAAAGTCCGTTAGTAATAGTATGTACTGCTGGCGCTTATATAGCGTGCCTAAGCTGCGGTCATGCGGAGCCAAAGCGCTACCGAGTAGGTATGTAAAGATATATATGAGTGAGAATCCATGATAAAAATAAAGGTGGAACTATGCTAATAAAGGAAATGGAAATATATGTACTAGGGAGCTTGGTGGACAGTGGATGGATGCTTCTGGATGGCTGGCGCCATAGGGCGTGCAAGCGCAGGAACGCGCGCGCGTATACATCGCGAAGCGTGGGAATGGTGCGCGCATGGCGCGCGTTGCGTGGGAAAGCTGCGCGTCATATAGAGATAGCTGTGGGTAGTGCACAGAGTGACGCTACAAGTTCGTGCTATGTACTTCCTAGTGTAAAGCGCCATATCAGACCATGAGACACATGAGTCTCTACACCGAGACCCGGTAGTCTCGGGTTTTGGGGTTCGGGGGTTGATACATCTCGGTTTGGGGATTGGGGGTTAGTAAAAATGTTTACAGATATACGTAGATTGATTTAAACATTGTCTGAGAGATGTCGTTCGTCTCAAATGTCAAATCCTGAGTTCCAAATTTCGGGACTCAGCACCCGGCACCCGGGACTCGGGGTTTGGCACTGAGAATTTGACATTCAGGTGTTCGGGTTTTGGGTGATATCTACCTCAATCTACAGTTTTGAGTTCTGGATATCAGGACTGATCATTGAATCATTCAATTGTGGCATAGGTAACACGCATTGAAAAAGATTTATGTACATCTATCACTGAGCAATTATGTAGCCATTTCAACCTCCTCACCAGGAAGATCAACCTTTCCCTCAACATCCATCTCCTCATCAGAAGAAGCATATTCTGGCAGGAGGTTACCTGGTTCATTAGGGACCACAATATCGCTGGAGGATTCTGGCAAGAGGTTGCCTGGTTCATCTGGGAGCACAATTTCACCAGAGGATTGTGGACCCTCAGGCTGAACTTGGGTGGGCTCAACCATGGGACCTACCATAGCAGATCCATGCTCAGGCATCACGGGTGTGGGTTCCATCACTGAAATGTCCAAATCAATGAGGTTGGAAAGTGCGGAGGGGAGGGGTGACATGGACGGGGGGGACCTCCTTGATCAAGCAACATTGATCCATCAGCCGGTGTGTCCGGAAGTGAAAATGAAGGGTGCCGGTCAATCACTGTGTGCCGGAGGCTCTCATGGAGGCATTGCAGGGTATCAATCTTAGTGTCCTGCTCCTGCACCCAAGCCTCAAGAATCGCGATGCGAACTGCACCATCCCGAATCGTGATTGCCATGGAATGGAGATCCGGCATGGGAACATCGAGTGCTGCACAAGGCACTGCGACGCTGGAAGACCTGACTGCTAAGTAAAAAATTAGGTCAGCCGGTCATCAAGGGTTTGGGTGACTTACCAGCTGGCGCAGGTGCAGGGACAGGTGCAGGGACAGGTGCAGGTGTCTTCTTGATGGTGATGGTCTTGCTGTGACCACGTGACTGCACCTGGGGTGTAGTTGCAGCAGGGATGGCTGGAGGTTGGGATGGGCCACGAGATTGACTATGAGTTCGGGCCCTTGACCGGGAGGGAGACGGAGCATTGAATGGAGCAGGGGCAGGTGTCTTGGAACATGTCCGGCCGGTGGTAGACTTCCCTCGGATCCGTTTGGGTGGGGATCCCAGAGATGCAGGGTTGCATTTGATCTTCTTGGTGGAGCAGCAGATGCAAGACAAGCAGGGGAGACTGGTCCTCTTGTCCAAATGAGTTGCACAGGGCCAATTCTCCTTGACACAATAATGGCAGGGGTTGTTCTGTGGTATTCGTTAGTAGATGGACGAAGGGGAATTAATTGGAGTACTCACTGGGCTGGGAATGGTAATATCAAATGTGGTATTGGCTGGCGGGTCACCATCTGAAGCACTGGAAGTATCTTCAGAGGGCTCCCCAACTTCCGGACGACTGCCGGAGGTTGCCTGACGGATTGTGAATACACATATGAGTTTCTGGAGAACTTCTAAGACTTACCCGAGCCTCTGGACAACTGCCCTGAGCCTCCAGACGACTGATGCGAGCCTCCGGACGACTGATGGGAGATTTCTAATGTAATGGGAATGAGTGACAATTATACATGGGAGGTCCGGACAAGTCCGAACGACTCACCATGACCTCCGGACGACTGCCGGCAGTCAGCTGTGGACACATGAGCATATATTTAAGGTCCAAACAGATAAATCAGACTTACCGAAGCAGGCCCAAATGATTGCTTCTTGGGGGAACCGGGTGACCGAGGCGACTGGGGCTTCCTTACAACAATGGTGGAGCGCTGGGGAAGGACGACCTCCAGCACTCCACATGAAATCGGCTGCAACAAATTGAGAGCATGTCACAAATAAGCCAGAACACATACCTGAACAATTGGGTCTTCATCATCTTTCAACTCCACAAACAGCTTCGACTTCGGGAGTTGAGTTGACTTGACACGCTTGCGTGCCTTCATCGCCGACTTTGGAGGTTGGGAGGAGTGTCTGGAAATCATCGGAGACTTCCTTTTGTTGCTCCCCCCAACTTCCGGCTCCAGGTTGACAGAGGTGGCCTTACCTTTTCCTTTGTCCCGGACCTCGGGGGTCGTCTTGCCGGAAGGTCCGGCGACGACCGGAGGTGAGGGAATGATGGGGGTGGGGGAAGGGACAGGTGCAGGTGAAGGGACAGGTGGAGACAGAAGGTTGACAATCAGTGGGCCAGTGGAAACGTTAGGGACAACAGGGAGATCACAGGAATTGTCACCCAATGCCTCCCAGGCATGGACTTGCTTGCGCCAGGTGTGTCTAGCCACCTGGGGGTCATCATGGCCAATGCTGTGCCAGTTGGGCAATGCACGGGGAGTCATGGAATGCACCCTCATCAGCTCCTTGGAGCAGGACGCCACAATTCCAGGGATGTATTCCCCTTTCTCATAGGCCCGGATGATGTCAGCCTACCCGGACATTGAAAACATTAATGTTACACTAATTTAATGAGTTCAACATACCAAAAGAGTGGTGACCTGCTTTGTCAGAGCAAGGTGGACGTCCACTGAGCTGGCCGGGATGTGCCAGGCGCTGGCAATGATGCCCACAAGTTGAGCAGTGGGTGCCTTGAGGTCGGCCAAGGAAGATTGAACTTGAGTAGACATTTGGATTGAGTTGACAGATGTGAGAATGTTGAAAGCAGGGTGAAATCTGTTATCACTAGAATGAAGTTTCAAAGAAACAATACAATTGAAGGACAATGTTGAAAATCGTTCATTGTTTGTGTTTGTTTGGTCATGGTTCAACTTTCGGCAATTACCGGCCATCTGTTGAACTTTGACGTTATCAGTTATCAATCAGTTCATCAGTTCATCAGCTCATCAGATATCATGAGTTCTCAACCTGGGGTCAGATTTCATGACCCTCCAGTCACTGAATTCACTTCAATGGATGTGGATGAGTCCTCCCAGTCCCGGATGTCTCTTGGTATGTTTTGTTTTTTCTGATTTCAGTCAATTGATCTGACATGGTTTAGATCCATTAGATGATATATACCTTGGGCCGGATGATGAGTTAGACTCTGATTCTGGGTCGTCTGGTGGTTTGGATGTGTTGAATGCACAAGTAGCTGGGAGAATGATGTATCATTTACTCATACTGTAGTAAAAGTGTGATACACGAATGGCTCTGAGCTGCAGCGCCCGGTGATACATCACTCTACTTGACTCTACAGTCCGTGTCTGTCCTATAGCCCTAAGTTTTACTAAGCATAGAATCATTTCTCAATCTCTTGACAGATCTCATATGTTCTCGGTACCTTGCGATCTTCATCTGGTTCCTAGTGATCTGGTTCTTAGTGATCTTCTGATGCCAGTGACATTGATCATTAATGTCAGTCCTCAAATTCCTCGAACAATGATGTATCAATAGATTACAAATCATTGTGTAACTGCGGCCATGCATCAATGGTAGGTGGGACATCCTCGCTGTCCATCGGAATGTTCAAGGTCCACAGGTGCTGAAAGGAGGCAACAAGAGATAGACGCAGTGCAGCCTGACGACAAGCATACGCAGTGACTCCCTCCTGTTCAGCTGTAGACTCCAGCACTCGAGCACTAGCCCGTTCACCCCACCACTCTGCCTGCCACTTCAAGAATTCTATGACCCTTCGCATCTCCTCGAGTAAGAGTTTGACTTCCTTGGACCACCAGTTTGTGCGCGCGCGCACTTTACACCACTCTACTCGAACACCTATAATATAAGTCAGAATCATGTCAACCTTGACCTCAGAGACTTACAGTCCTGAACTCATTCGTTTTCTGAGCTACTATTATCTGCACGTGAGTCTAGCCAGATCCACGAGATGGTGCCAGTCCCTTGTCTCTCCATATCGCCCATAGGTCTGACGTCTGTATCCAAGAGCCGTGGAAGGAAAATTTCCCAGCCAGGCTTGTCAAGACGAAGACTGAGAGCTAACAGCGCATTCCGCGCACGCCGGTACTTCTCGACACTAGCCTGCTTCCTCAACTCCACACTATCAATGAGGGCCTGTGCACGGGTAGAAGCAGCTTGACCCTGGACATTTCTGTCCTTGTAAATGTACATGTGAGCTTGAAGGCGGAGATGAGAACGGACTTCATTGAAAGTGTCGAGTGCCTGTGCGTGCCGTAACTCCCATTCATGTGCAGCCAACCTCTTGTCGCATGCAGCTGTTGGTTCCAGCTTGGATGGAAGCCATAGCTTGAAGGCCTTGGGTCTTAGCACTGCTGTATTCGACACGCTAGCGTCAGATGATCAATGGCGAAGTTGAGAGACAACAGGAATGTATAATTCCTGGATATGGGCCAAGGCATCAATGCGATGTTGAAGGGTGGTGATGCGTGCCTGCATATTAATCTTCTGGTTGTCTGTAGGGTGAAGAGATGTGTTGGCGATGTCCACCTTGAGGTGCTGTCTGTCAAGTCTTTGATTAGCATAGTTCTCAGCGCGCTTAGCAAACTTACTGTTGATCCTGTAGATCGATACCACTAGTAATTAGCCTGCTTGGAGAAATGTCAGTGTGCAGAGACATGTTGGTCCCAGCCTGAAGTTTGCGAGCTTCGAGCTCAACGAGCTGCAGACGAACAGCAGCCTGTGTAATAGCTGCCACAAATTAATTTGTGAACTTGAAGAAAAAGAACATGACTCACAAGTAAAATGACTTTCGAAAGGATTGCGCTGAGAGCTGTCATCCTCCCAGGCTTCCACTTCCCTCTTCCACTGAAGGATCAGTGTAGGTTGGATAGTCCTCTCTAGTTCTTCTAGTGCCTCTCCATGCTCCCTCTTCCACTTAATGGCGTCACCCATCTTGCGGAGTAGTGTACGGTCTATTCCTGGGTAAGGCCAAGATATTGAATGAAAAAAATACATAACATACCTAACACTGTGACCTTCTTCCAGTTCCAATCTCCAAAATGATCGTCAAGAGTATCCCACTGTGACCCTGGCCCCATCTCTTTCGTACTCGTCATGACACGATTAATATTTGACCATCCGCACTCAGGAGCTTCCCCGTCTGTTTGTCCCACATGTTTAGTCCAGTTGAATGAGAAGTTTCTCTGACATTTGGCAATGTGCGCCTTCAGATGAAACTTTGGGACGAAAAATCGGATGGCCATCGAGCGATGAGGGATATGCAACCTTGATGGCATGCCTTCCATATGTGTCCAGAGCTTCTTATGCCATTGACAGGCAATGTCATATGAGATGATGATCATGGTTACTGTGAAGGCCAACAGTGCTGAGAACATGAGGTAGTCCATATTAATATATCTATATATTAGTTAGTATGTGCTTGATATAAGAGGAAAATACAACAGACTTTTCACCCTTCTGTAAATCTCCAACACCATTGGCGAGCTTCATGTCATGCCTGGCACAGTCTACCGTACCAACACCTGTTGCAGCCAGACCATGCAAGGACTTCGTGTCTGCCATATTGAAGGCATTGTGACTGACACACATGCTGCGCTGTATACTAGTGAGATATCGCATCACATAATAGTAGGGTCATGTACTTACGTCTTGCTTGACACCAGCTTGATGGGCCAGGTATGACTTGTAGGCAGCCTCCTCGACAAACTATGCCCACCCACAGTTGAGACTAGGGTCTACGTTGTCCGACGACACTGCCTTGCGTTTCAGCCTGAAGTTGGCGTCAATCGCAATAAATAATGCGTATTTCCACCTGAATAAAAAATAGGCCATCAACATGAGTGCGCTGTTGTAATCGCCAGTTGAGACTGACCTAACCGATAGTGGCTCGTCCTCCCAGCCTCGTGGTAAATTTTTCCCTTGGTGGGGACACGCTGGGCACAGCACAGCCAATTCGCCAGTGGTGGTGGCATTGATGCCACCAGGATCATGCCCTCTTCCTGCACGTCGAAGCTGCCTGAGATGCCGCCATTCATGGACCATACACATGAATGCAGAGTAGCGGTCCTAAATGTCTCATGTCAGTACCCCATAGTCATCATATTTTCTGGATACATACCCTTATATCAGATAGGCCAGCATTATTGTTTCGTCTTGCCAGTGAGTGGTAAAATTTGTAGGCAGAAACCTTGCTCTCGAATGACAGAAGGTGGAAGTGTTCCAGTAGAGTGAATGTTGCCGCAGTGCGAGGTTCTGATGTGGTGGCTGGATACCAGTGTGTGCGGAGTAGCTGCTTGTAACGAATTTGAGCGCTTGCACACCCACAGAAATCCAGTGCAATCTTGTGGACACCATGGACGTCAATGACAACAAAGTCATCACTGGAGGAAGGATGAGGATTATAACACTTCTCGCTAGGGGTGTGACCTAGCTGTACATGTAGACCCATTTTCTTCAGGGAGGTGGGCTGAAAAAACGAGTCGTTCCACATCTTGTAGGCACCTGTCAGTCTTCAATAAAGTAATGAAAATATCTATGCACATCAATCCTATGTAAAGGATTCCATGTGTGGCTGCGGAGTATGCACTCATGGCAAAACATCTGTGTGCCGAAGCAGTCACAACATCTAAAACTGGGGGCAGCAAGACCACAACAACAAAGACTTTCTGGAGTCCCGCGACCCTCCAGGCAAAGGGTTTCATCCAGAAATGTTTGACGTTCGGGGATCCATGCTAACAGCGGTGTATCCTGAGGCATGATTGTCAAATTAGAATAACAACCATAGACAATACTACTCACTGCAGCAGTGTGTTTGCGTCTGTCAGACGATGGTTCACAAAGGTTTTGTTGCAGCCCCTCTTGTTCTGGGGGAAGTTCATCCCAGTCACCCCCAAAAAATGGGCCTGTATCAGAACCAGTATCCAGGGAGTCAAATATGGGGAGTGAGGGTGCAGAAACATAGCGAGTGTGCAGTTGCGTGCGACCCTCAGTGGTGATTTCTCCTGTGCGAAGCTGCAACAGCGGAGCACTGACGGCAGAGGGTATGAAACGAGTTCGTTCTATGTGGGAATACTTTGCTGACCGTCCCCGAGACATTGCACCTGTCGAACAACAATCAACCAGGGCCAACATTCAAGTCTCCAAAGCCCAAAAGAAGCTTGGAGAATCAAGCTTCTTTTGGCTTTGGGTATAAAATACACTTACTGACATTGTCATTGTGAGCGAATCTTGTTGCACTACCACCACTTGTAAGTACAACAAAAATGCAGATAAAAATACTAAACGATGCTCACAGGTAGCATGCAACCCTCGCAGTCGTCCTCGCCCAAAATTGTTTATGCACCTACCAGTGCCGCGTCCCTGATACGTAGACACCAAGGTGAGCAAATAAACCTATATTGTCTGAATCAAGCCCATAATCAAATGTACCTACCAGATGTAATTTCGCATGCCCATTACCTCATAGCCAGGCATTATCGAAGACCGATGCCTGGGCCCACATTTACCTCGGAACAGGTGGAATGGCTCAATGAACGCATACCTCACTACATGCAATATGATACGAAGTCTGATGAAACCCGTCGCTTCATCAGATCCACAATGACGGAGTTTGATGTATTATGGCCAGTTCAACTTAAGTTATGGCCAGAATACCCCCCTGAGACTCGATACACTGATGAGATGTGTTCGGCGATGTTAGCACAGACTTCAATACTTTGAGCGGTAAGCAAACAACCCACGTAATAGTAATGAGCGTAAAGACTCACTGGCCTCGGAGTAGAACATAACTAGCTACCTGTTGTGGCAGACACGATATAAGCTTCGTCATGAGAAGAACAAAACAGGAATCAAACCTGCTAAATGGTTCTGGTACTGGGGCGTTGGGCAAACTTGAAGGCTTGAAGTAGTAATATCAGTACCTGTAAATGGTAGATGGTAAATAACAGTCAGTTTTTCGAAGGTGGAAATACAAACAATGTGGTCGAGTAGACGTGATGATCATTGCGCGAGTGACGGGAAAGGTGAATAACAATGTGGTTGAGTAGATGTGATGGCCATTGCGCGAGTGATTGGAAAGGTGAATCAATTGATCCGTAGACATGATCCGTAGACATGATGATCAATGCGTGAGTGACGGAAAAGGTGAATCAATTGATCTGTAGACACGATCATCATTGCGCGAATAACGGACTTCCAATTGATCCACATGAGCTTAGTCAGCCATTCTTGTCTGCTTTGCAGCGTTATATGGACAATTCAGTCCTCATTCCTCCTCTTATATCCATGGACTTGGCTGCAATGTGTTCTTGAGGATCACATATCACAAACAACAGCTACATCTGAACTGCATAAATACCTGTCCTGGTGAGTGATACATTAGAAGTTCAGTGTCGCATACTCCTCTGCTCAATATCCAGCCTTGTTATAATGACTCAAGGTTTATCTCCCTCCAGTGAGACGGACAACCTGGTGTCCATTCGACTGGATGGTCTCATTGGCATCCTTCAGGGACTTTGTCTCGACGACAGGAAGGCGATATCCGTTGCATTGCTGGCTGGCACCAGCCAAACTGTTGCCAAAGGTGAATCCGTCTGTTTCTTTGATATATTATGACTAACATTGCTTCTACAATGTTGCAGAACCTGTTGCTAATCCTATGGGTGCTTCTAGTACTGACAACATTTCTGTTCAAACTGTTACCAAAGGTGAATCCGTCTGTTTCTTTGATGTATCATGACTAACATTGCTTCTACAATGTCGCAGAACCTGTTGCCAATATGACAGGTGCTTCTAGTGCTGACGACGTGTCTGTACCTGCTCCAGATGATTCACCTGCTGCCACCACCGTAGCTCCTTCCCCTCCTGTCACCGCAGCCCTTTCCCTTGCTACTACTGCAGCTTTTGCTCCTGCCCCCACCGTAGCTACAAGATACGTGTATGGGCCTGTCACCGTCGTTGGGGACTCCAATGACAAGGAAGACTCATCTGATGATGAGGATGCAGCTAATGCAGCGGTGTCTCTCACTGAGGACTCCACTCTTCGTTACTACAATGGCAAGTACTTCAATGTACCTAACAAAGTCAAGGCGCCACTCTACTATATAACGAGGGGTCGTTATATTGGGGTCTTCTCTGGGTGGTAAGCCTAGATGTGCTTCATTCATTGTGTTCACTAATTGTGTTTGGGCAGGGACGCTACCGGCCCCAAGGTGCTTGGTGTTTCACGTGCCATATATCACAAGGTGGAATCTGTTGAGCAAGGTGCCGGGATTGTGGAGCGTGCCATTGAATGCAGCGAGGCGGTGCAGGTAGTTTAATCTTAGTCACACATTGTTCAGTTGTCAATACCAAGCTATTTTTTGAGTGTGCATGGTGTAACCTCGAAGCCAGAGTATGAATAGAACTCATAGCTCCAGCATAACATGTTGCATGATATATCTGCATGAACCGAGCTCTGGCAGCTTGAACAAGCTCTATGAGGGATGGTGTTTTGGACTGGAATGATTCAGCACAGCGTGGGATGGAAGAGATAGAAAGATACCTTGTGAAAACTGCGAATCAGTATTGATACTGTCGTTGTCGTGGAGTGCAACATTACCTGAGATATGTGCTGTGTATTTAGTGTAGCTAAAGCAAACGACCAACTTGAATATTTAGCTCGCTTCAAGTTTGAACAGGACGAATAATAGATTAAATGTGTAAATCTCCCAATTTATCTCCTACCGCAAAAGTGTTTGAAACTCCTATGCAAATACTGAGCACACCAAGCCAATACGAAGCCACTTACTTTGACACCATATTTCGGCACATGGCAAAACCACGGCTATACAACACTACAGAAGAGAAATTACAGGCCGCACGCTCTTACCAACGTGCTTACAACACACAGTATGTTTCGATGATTGTCCTTGGGTGCAAGTGATAGTTGAATTAATGATGCTTTTCAGTCAACGCAACAAGTTACCCGATAGGTGAGAGATGGCACATACTACCTGATGAGAACTGTACCTAACTTAATCTATGCAGTGCTCCATTGATGCCTGTAGGAAGGCCATGCCTACATGATACCGATGCCAAGATACTTGAAGCAAAATGCAGTTATAGGCGGGGGTATTACCAACGGTATGTTGCAACTCACTGGTAAGATTGGTCACTGACTAGGACCGGTCGTCCAATTCGTCCAATTGCTATTTATTTAGTCACCGTGACAAGATATGTGCTAAAAAACAGGAAAAATTAAAGGAGAAGTCAAAATTGAAGGGGTACGTGGCTCCACCATATATACAATGTTTCACTGATAGTAAGATAGTCCAAGGAGCCTCAAAGTCTCATCATCCAAGAGAGATTATGGTAGCAAAAAATGTTCTCGCAATAGCTGGTATGTTGTTCAATGATTCATTTCGGGAGCATTCCATTTATCTTGATCAATCAATTTAAGGACCAGACAGTGCGATGATGTCGATGCCTGCTTGCAGGTAATCATTGGGTCTTCGAGCACAGAAAATTTTATTGAGGGCCTTTGCATGCACTTCATTTCTAACCTGGACGACCCTGATACATTGGACGTTATGCGGGGGGCTATTGACGTCTTGCAAGACCTCCATCAATGTGCGCAGTTTGTAGTAGATAATGTCATTGAGGAGTGTGGGATGATCGGTGACCTCAGTTGTACACAGCAATCTCTATTTCAAATCTGCAGAGTTCTGACAGCCTTGGAGGATGTATTCACTCATGCCATACTGGGGGTCAGCTACTTGATTGACGTACACAAGCGACACGGATTGAAGCACCAAATTGCTCCAGACAACCAGAGTTGTGATATACCTTGGGTGTACCTACATAATGTATACTATATTTGGTCTCATAGTATGCCTAAGAATTCTCTAGTAGAATGATAGAGGAATGACTGACTAATAATTCGGGAGTACTCCCATCTGTGGCTTGCGCATACTTTTCATTTCACATCTGACTTCTATCTAGGGCATCTCACGCGACACGACAACTCAACAAAAGCACGTCCTTCTCGTATCTGTGGCTGACGTTGTAGGGATTCATTTCTGGCTGGGCTTGTAGAGACTGTTTTTACCTTACCTTATGTTGGCACTTTTGTAGCTTACATAATAAAGCAATCTTTTCACCAGTTACCAGTATGAGTCTGAGTGCTGAGCAAGTTTTCATGATATTTCCTCTTCTCTGAGCCTTGAGCCTGGTCCAGAAACCCTTTAGGGTCGAATAGCAGCTAGGTTCTGCAAGACCCAACATTGTTCAGACTCATCATCTGAATTGTTGTACCTTCAACGTGTCTGACTAATTTTGCATCTGACTTTTATCTAGGTCATCTCACGTGACGCGACAACTCGACAAAAGTACAATCCTCCTCGTATCTGTGGCTGACGTGTCTGACTAATTTTGCATCTGACTTTTATCTAGGTCATCTCACGTGACGCGACAACTCGGCAAACAGTACGTCCTCCTCATATCCATGGCTTATGCGTCTGACTGATCCTTTTCATTTTGTATCTGACTTTTATTTAGGTCATCTCACGTGAATGCGGCAACTCAGCAAAAAGTACGTCCACCTGGTAGCTTAACTCGATGTTAGTGCACTGAACGGTATAGTCATTTGAATTTATGACAGATGGCACCACGTAGTTGGCTTTTGGAGGACCAGCAGGCATTTGTGCTCACCTACCATGAAAGTTTCCTCAAGTGCAAAAAAAACGGGAACTATGCTAGTTTCTGGCCCCCGTTTTGCGAAAAATGGGAAGAAAATTGGCCAATTACTCTGGCAGAGGAACCCTTAGATGAAAACGCAAAGCTCGAGCAGATAGCTAAGGCAAGGAATGCCCTTCAGATGGTATTTTTTATCTGAATCAGTATATTCAAATATTAATTACATACAAAACTAGTGTTTGATCGTCAAACTACGCAATGACTTTGGTAATTCGAAGGTGGGCTGCTGGGCAAATGCCGCTGGGAACACCATCGTCAGCAAATTGATTGGCGATATTACCATCAAGTCAGGCAAAAAGAAATCATGCCCCCTCAATGCAGCTGAAGTTTACGCCAAGAAATATTACGCGTCGCGTGTGCAGCCTGCAGTCAAGGAGGAACTTGACGCTATGAAGGATGCACTGGATGCACCAGAACCGAAGAAGCGGGCTATGCAGGTTGTTCGCAAACAGCTAGCATCCTACTGGGAGAATGAAACCCCGGAGGCGAAGGAGGAAGTCGCCAAATTGGCCCGAGAAATGAAGGAAGAGAGGGAGAAAGACGTGAATCATGACAAGAAGGAGCTGTCAAAGGAGCTGTAAGTGGCACTCACTATCTGACTTCATCGTCACTGATGGCAGACAGGATCATATCCAGGCTCACAGAAATCCTGTCAATATTTTTCACTGAGTTGCACGATGCGACAGGATGGACTTTCAGTGTTTTGCTCACTGGCCCTGACCCTACGAACACCGGCAAACTTGATGTCAGTAGCTTGCATATTGGGACAACTACTGCTGGTAATCAGTTCAATCACGCATTTCCAAAGTTCGAGGAGAGTATTATGGTGCCTTATTTTGAATTTGCATCTCGAGCATTTCGTGAGTGGTCCAATCATTGATGTCTCTGTTTTAAGCTGATCAAGACGTAGCCGATGCTGCATCATTGTTATCGAATAGAGCTACACCTGATACACCTCCTGATACACCCCTTCAGAATGATACATCGCTGCCAGATGCACAGGCACAGGGAACCCTGCCAGCCCATAACTCCCTCGCATGTTCTCCAACTCCCATGGACGTCGCAATTGATACATCACTCGCTATTGTCCCTTCTGCATCTACTTCCACGCCTGATACATCACTCACTACTGTCCCTTCTGCATCCACTTCCATGCCTGATACATCACTCACACTGTTGGAATCATTGCCATTGCTGTCGCAACTATCAGCCGCACTTTTTGGACAGGGAATGTCTCATGCTGATACATCACTCACTCATACACCGCAGCCAGGCTACAACTTCTTCCAATATCCCCCCCCCCCCAGTCTTGAAGATGACAGTATCGATCTAGACTTCAATAACACAATTCTACCCATGCCGCCCAACTACAGACCACCATCTCCGCTACCTCCCTCTTCTCCACTACCTTCTTCGTCCCCTTCCTCTCAAACAGATTGGTTTCCTTCTTTACGGTTCTCAGCAGACTTTAGTTTCTCTGATACTTACAGAGATGGCTTTGACAACACCTTCGACCACACAGTTTTACAGAGCCTAACGTCTCCTCCTCGTCTTCAGCACTTATCATCAACTCTCGCAAACACCGCTCATGACCAATCTCGTACTTCTATTCCATACAACAACACTCCTACTCCCATGGCAATTCCTGCCCCTGCCCATACTTCTACTCCAGTAGAAATCCCTACTTCTGTCCAACCATCTACAGTTCCGCCTGAATCTCTCACTGTGGGACCCATTATGGCTGCTTCTGCTGTGCCAACTGCAGTTGCTGGGACGTTGCCAATGACAACGAAGGCTTCCAAATGTAAGTCTAAGAAGAGCAACATGGAGGCAGTTTCAGCGAAGCATCAGAAGAAGGGGGATGCAGTGGCCGTCCTCACTGAGAACTCACAGCATGTCGAGGGAGGTCGAGGCAAACAACAGCGCTTTCAGTCGTCTCGGGCAGCCGCTGCCAATGCCATTGGCACAACTTAGCAGAACCTTTCATGTTCATTCATAGCTGCTCTTGTTAATGTACCATATTGTTTCTTGTTAGTGTGCTGCATATGCATAGGTTTCGACGCTGCTGCCATCTCTCGCAACGACGACACTGTCAACTTTAATGCTAGAGGAAGAATTTTAAAGACAAACACGTGAATTTGGCCAAGAAGATGTAAAAGGAATACTTGCACGAAGTGTTCATGTACAGAACTCAGTTGGATGTAGGATAGATAGCACAGCAGTTTTTGTGATCTTTTCTTGGTGCAGTCTGTCTCTCCCAGGACTGCAATTGTCAGTAATAGGCTATAGCACAGAAATGCACACTGGGGTTAACATTTGACTTGGTGGACTTAGCCAAATTTCTCAAGCACGGACTTGGTCAAATTTCTGCAGCTCGACTGATACATCAATGATCTCAGTACCTAGATCCCAGGCTTAAAATACCAGGTGCATGGGTGATATAGCACACTGACAAATAAAGGAAGCAGGATAAAAATAAAGTAGGAACAAATATAACCAGTATAGCGCGCTGACAAATAAAGGAAGCAGGATAAAAATAAAGTAGGAACAAATATAGCCAGTATAGCGCGCTGACAAATAAAGAAAGCAGGATAAAATAAGGTTGGAACAAATATAGCCAGGTAGCCCATATCAGAAGCGAAGGAAGTAAGGTACAAGCCTGACTAAGCTTGATGGAAGCTAAGAACCCGGACCAGCAGCTGCTAAGTAGGATCCTCCACTGATACATCACTGATACATCACCACTATACCCGCTAGTTATCCTCAGGAGTACAACAATTCATGTATCACCCTTAAACTGGCATCGCCAGTTATATAATGTATCATTATCACAGTATAGCCTGTTGAATGTGATTCCCAGTATGTTTCCAATTCAAATGTACATATTCCACATGTGCAAATTCATCACATACTTCCAAATCCATCATCTCCGGCTCTGGCAGATGGACTGGCCCTATACGATGACCCGGACTTGTATCTTGGTCCGGAGGATACCTTGATTTCATCTGATGATGCTCTGGTTGTACCCGATTTTCCTATGGCTGGTGAGGTCATTCTTTCTATTTCATGTTCACCTTTCATGGCATTTCCCCAGTGAATGAATTGACTCTGGAGCCTCATCCGGCCACTTCGGTTGTACCAGAGGCACCCATACCTTGTAGGTATAGTCATATCATTTCATGTTCTTTACTCATGTTATCTCCCAAGCTATTTCAGAAACTGCCGAACGTCAATCGCCCAAGCCGGAACTCAACAATGAAGCACTGTGTGCCATGGTTCAGGAGTTCATGCCAATCGGATCTTATGATCAAGCTGAAGGTAAGTATGCAACATTTGATTATTTATCTCTGCTAATATCCTGCAAGTTCAATCAATTGTAGATCGCCTGGGTGATTACCAACAACGTCATGAAGATCTTCCTGCCCCTACCTACAGTAGCACAAATTCTTGAGGCTGACAGACCATTCAGGATGGCATGGGCTGAAACATGCGACAAGCTGCGGAAAGCAGATGCTGACCTCCGGAGGATGCAAAGGATAAGGGAGTCAACCTCCGAAATGCTGAAGGTATTAGATACCATCATTGAGACCTTTGAGGACTCAAGTAACATGTAAATATTGATCAATGTCTGATAGTAGACACATTGCAGTATACTTTACCTGCTAAGTACTTAATACTTGGAATCCCAGGCCCTGAAAACTCGAGCTTGGTCCCAGGTGACGTTGGTGCAGCAGACAGTCTCCCTCCATGCCAGCATATATACAAAGACAAGGAAGCAAATGATGAAACTTGAGCTGGGCAAGACCAGCTTCAGAAATACAAACCCCTGCTTCGCAAGCAACTCAAAATCAGCTCAACAAAATGAATCTTTGGCTTGGTTTTGGTCTGTTGAAGTCGACCTCGGGGGTCCTGATCAATCGTGGAATGAGGAAGGTGAGTTTCTGCTTGCATGTCATATCCTGCGGTTACCTGACTGGACCCATGCCAAGTTTACCGAGTCCATTGGCTGAGGGCAAAGGCACTACAAGATCGATGGAGGGAAGAAATGCTATTGGTCAAATTGGAGATGGATTGGACATGTAAGTTCTTTTTGTGGAAAACAACCCAATGGGGCGACCACATGCAGGAATCATTGGAGAAATGCCTTCCGGGTCACAGATGCTATGCCGGAAGGCAATCCCAAATGTATTCATTGCTCGCACAGGATGCGCAGGCAGCTTTTCAAGACCTACAAAATGTGTTGATAGAGGCTAGAGATGAATGAACATTGTTTTCTCATGAAGTCCCTTTTTCCACATACACAATTGAGGCCTGGGAATTGTCCAGGTCAGCCCATGTCGGAGTTTGAATTTTGTATCCATCCATCAGTGATTCTTATCTTCACATCTTCACCATCTTTCACTTGTATTGCCAGTGCCATAGTCCTGTATTAGCCATGTCTGCAACTCCTGCATCCACTTCTGGCACTCTGAATGCCAGAAGCCATTACCGACCCCTGAAGCTGAGCCTTACAACTATTCCTGCACATTGGCAATGGCTGGATCGCATGTCCATGCATGCATCTCTCAATATCAGACGGAAGCTGCCAACAATGGTGTATCTTCTGACTGGATCAAGTATTTAAAAGCCGGGCTGCAATGGGAGATGAATGTATGTTACCACTGCCCTGATGACTTTGTTGGTCAATGCTAAGAATTTGAGCAGACTTTTGTCACACAACTCCTGCAGTACTCCGCTTCACAGAATATTGTGTCGGTGGTTCCGGTCCCTGTCGCTTATATCCTTAAGTTGTATCTCATGCTAACCTGGAACACGGTTCTGGATGATGTCTTTTCATTCCACCTCCTTTCATTTCATGATGAGCCAATTGCAGGACATCTGTCCTGGATTGTGTTCACATATACATGTCCATGGTGGATGGGAAATACCACAATCCCTGATCAACCATGGCAGTGGGATGAAATAATGGCTTCCTGTGTCTCTCACTACCAGTATTGGGCGGTAAGATCTTAGCTGAATTACCTTGATTGATGACTTATCTGTTTCAGCTTAATGTTGAGGATGATGCTTTGGTTCTTCCAGAGAAGTTGAAAAACACTTCGACTCCACCACTCATGGGACTGAGGTTCATTAAAGAACGCATGGAAGCATTGATGGAGGAGCAAGATCAGGGCATCAAAGCCAAGATGGGAGAGGTGAAGATGTATACTGACATGTTAGAGAAATTGAGGAAAGGCAAAGGAGTGTAGTCCCATTCAGTCTTCATTGTATACAAGATGTAACATATTCTATGCATTCAAAAATCTCACATCCGAGTCCTGAATTTCAGAGGTCGGGGTTTGGCGACACGGAGCTCGGCCACTGGGTTGGGTGTCAGGATATCCAGAGCATTGGAGATAGCATGTGTCAGTATTTTGCATTTCATGGTTCATGTTTCGTGGTTATGGAATCGGGCATCAGAGACTCGGTATTGAGAACAGTGTCAAGTCCCAGGTCACGAGCTCTGAGTCCCAAGTGCTGAACCCTGGGTCCTGAGTCCTGAATTTTGGAGGTTGGGGTTCGGCGACCCGGAGCTCGGCAACTATATTTGGAGCATTGGAGATAGCATTTGTCAGTATTTTCCGTTTCATGGTTCATGGTTCATGGTTATGGAATCGGGCGTCAGGGACTCAGTATTGAGAACAGTGTTGAGTCCCAGGTCGTGAGCTCCGAGTCCCGAGTCCCAAACTCCAGACCCAACAGTTGCTGAGCTCTGGGTCGCCGAACCACGACCTCCGAAATTCAGGACTTGGGACCTGGGGTTCGGCACTCAGGACTCAGAGCTCATGACCTGGGATTCAACACTGTTCTCAATGCCGAGTCCCTGACGCCCGATTCCATAACCATGAAACATGAACCATGAAATGGAAAATACTGACAAATGCTATCTCCAATGCTCCAAATATAGTTGCCAAGCTCCGGGTCGCCGAACCCCAACCTCCAAAATTCAGGACTCAGGACCCAGGGTTCAGCACTTGGGACTCAGAGCTCGTGACCTGGGACTTGACACTGTTCTCAATACCGAGTCCCTGATGCCCAATTCCATAACCACAAAACATGAACCATGAAATGCAAAATACTGACACATGCTATCTCCAATGCTCTGGATACCCTGACACCCAACCCAGTGGCCGAGCTCCGGGTCGCCAAACCCCGACCTCTGAAATTCGGGACTCGGTATCCAGAACAGTGTCGAGTCTGGAGTCCACAATGTCAGGGCTCAGGGTTTTGTCAAATGTGTATGGCAATAACAAATGTTAATTCAAGCGTATTTATACATCTTCCCCCAGTCTCAAATATCACGTTCTGAGGTCCGTGTGTCAGGACTCAGTAACCCAGCACTCGGGACTCCCACATGTCAAGTCCCAAGTTCCAATTATTGAATACCGAGGCTTGCATCCAAATTATTCAGTCCCACATATCACTTGGGAAATGCTCAAAATTGAGTATTGAGGTCCGGATAACTATTAGTACATGGTATTCATTTGTTGGAATGTATATAGGTCACAATGCTTGCTCTTTGTTTGATCTTTTACACACTGTATGGACCATCCACACTAGCCCATCCACATGATGGAACACCAGCGTAAATGTGAACAGCATCCCTCATATACCATGCCCAAGCAATCCGATCCCCTTCCACATCATAAACCCCATGTCTCACAATCCTTCTGTAAAACGCAATCATACAGCTGGAATTGTACTTGAACTCCAGCTGAAGGCTTGGCATTGTCATCCGAGCATTAGAATAGTTCTCCATGGTGGTGAGAATGTCGAAGCATTTAGCAATGGACATGTGGTCTTGATGATGGGGGGTTTCCCGATTGGAAATGATGGAGAGGGTGTTAAACACGGATGCCCAGTACTGCAGGGCCTCCGGCATCTGTGGCAGATCCTTGCTTAGTGCTATATTTCCAAGGTTTGACAAGGCCTCAATCCTGCCCAGTACTGCTCAGGATGCATGACTCTGAGTGCCACGGACACAATGGCTGCTGGCCTTGCAATGGCTTTGAGGATATTCTCGCAGGAAGGTCCCTTCAATGATGCAGATACCTCCGGATCTGACACATTCTTTGGGATTGGTGAGTATGACTGCCAGAATCACCATCTCATCAGATCCTACCTCGTGTCCCTGTTGAAACCATGCCAGAGATAGATTGATGCATCCAGGAGTTGGTCCAACATCTTCCGAACCCCAGTTGAACAATGTTTGATTAGTTTGCCAATTGTCATCAGCCCTTACACTTTTTTCGAGGCTTGGAGCGAGCAAATCGGTGGCCTCCCTGATTTCCTTCTGTAGGTTCCATTAATATTCAATATCCATTGAGTAACAATGTATATTACACACCTGGGTGGTGTCGGTCAGGGTGTCTGGGAGGTACCATGCAATGATGGCACCAGATGCATCGACAATTGTGGCAGGTTCGTCAACCAACCTTTTGCCTTCATGGCCAGGAGGACACCTCTCAAGCAACCTCGCCTCTCTATGTTCATTATGCCCGGTGTCCTTCGGGGAGATCAATTTGCTATATCTTGCAATATCCATCTGCATCTGAACTGTCATGCAGGAATTTGAATGATAAAACAAAATTTCCGAATCTGCACGAAGACCCACTGGGATTTTTATATGCCTTTATGAGTACATCAGCCAAGCGATTGCATGCCATCACCAGATCAGTGTCTAGGTTGGGAGAAGGTATGACTGGGCCTCCTCTCAACTTCGGTTGGCCATTTAACACGGAAAGTATTAACTAAATTATGTGTTGAGTTCTGGGTCCCAGAACTTGGAACTCAGTACAGTTGACCCAAATTCTGGTGGTCGGAACTTGGCGTCTCGTAGGGCAACACAAGCTTTCGCACTGCCATGTCAGGAGATCACCTGATGCTCCGGGAACTTGGTAACTTTGATTTATTACCTCCTCTGATTTGGTTGATGTACAACTACCTCAGCTCCATCATGTCTACAATTATGATACACATGGGCCCACTCATCTATATTTTATACCACCCTCAGCCCACCAGTCTAATACAACATCCCATACAACACCCTTGGCCCACCGGTCTAATTAATATGTGTCTGGGCCCACCCATATAATACAATATTTTATAATACCCTCGGCCACCCATATAATACAATATCTTATAATACCCTCGGCCCACCCATCTAATTTAATATCTTATAATACCCTCGGCCCACCCATCTAATTTAATATGTGTCTGGGCCCATCCGTGAATGTGATAACAAGTACCTACACATCTATCTCATACACATCTACCTTAATACACCCATCTGCATAATATCCAGCTACCTCGGCCCACCCGTCTACCTAATATTCATGTACATCGGCCCACTCATCTACTCTATATATTCCCTGCATGGGCCCACCCGCCTCCATTGGGAATAATTTGCCTGCCGGCCCATCCGTCATAGTCAAGGATATTTTTATCCTGGGCCCATGGTCCGCTGGCCTGTATCATACGGGATATTATGCATGTCCGTTCCCTCATATTATACGGAGATAGGTCACTGTAATATGTGTAGATGCATGGTTAGTGTTAAGACCGTGCACAAAGGGTAGCACTGATCCAAAGGGGCTTGGATTCAGCTCATGTGCTGTGCCCCTTACCTGAGTATGTGCTCTTAATTTCAGAATAATGTCTGGAGAAAGTCTGAAGGACTTCTGGACGAGCATGGGAAAGTTTTGAAGGACTTTCTGGACGAGTGCAAGCAACTTCTGGAGGAACTTCTGGAAATTACCATGGGGTTTCGTCCTGATATGGAGGTGTGCAATGGCTACTCAGGACTTGTCCTGAGTAGAAGCAAACAGAGGAAAGGCTGCAAGGACAAAGTCCGAAGCAGAATAGGTCCAGAGGACTGCAGGAAAGTTCCGGAGGAACTTCTGGAAACTCGGAGGAATGGAGGATCAGATGAGCAGAGGATCGGAGGAGCAGAGGAGCAGAGGAGCAGAGGAGCAGAGGAGCAGAGGAGCAGAGGAGCAGAGGAGCAGAGGAGCAGAGGAGCAGAGGAGCAGAGGAGCAGAGGAGCAGAGGAGCAGAGGAGCAGAGGAGCAGAGGAGCAGAGGAGCAGAGGAGCAGAGGAGCAGAGGAGCAGAGGAGCAGAGGAGCAGAGGAGCAGAGGAGCAGAGGAGCAGAGGAGCAGAGGAGCAGAGGAGCAGAGCTCTAGCCTAGGGAATTCCTCCCTAGGCCTGAGATGGACATTGACTAAGTTGGAGGACTAGGACTTAAATCGAGGACTTAGTGTGAAGACTAGTGCAAGGACTATATGTGATAATCAGACTAAGGAAGTACAAATATTCTACAGGGTTTATATACTACTGAGGACTTAACAGAGAATCAGTCAGTGCAGTCCGAAGCTATGTGAGGCTGTGGACGGAGCATGTAGAAAATAGTAAATGAAGACAGAGATGAGAATATGGGAAAATAGAGCCAGAAATGAAATGAGGTATGGAAAATGAGTATAGTCCAACTCAAGAAGGAACATACAAAGGGAAAAGGCACAGAAGATAGACACAGGTCAGATCCAGATGTTCGGAAGTCTGGAGACAGGGCGATTACCATAAGGGGATGAGCACTGATTTAAGGTCTGGGTTCGGATATGAAGCATAGGTCGGATCCAGAGATCCAGAGATGTGGATATTAGATCTGGCATCCAGATATCAGATGCAGGAATACAGGGATCCAGACAGATAGAGGATTGTATCTGGAGACATGGACAGGAGGTCTGGAGGTCCAGATGAGGCATGGGAACATTGTCGGATGTTGGTCTGGAATGCAGGATATGACATTAGGGCGATAGGACAAAGGATGAATAATGCAGACTAGCTGCGGAGATATGGAGGTCTGATGTATGGAGGTAAAGGGATCTGGATGTGGATGTGCGGATGTGGATGTGCAGAGGTGCAGGGATCCGGATGGGTAGAGGACCAGAGACATGAATAGGGCATCCAAAGGTCCAGATGAGACATGGGAATATTGTTGGATATAGGTCTGGAATACGGGATATGACAGTTAGAGAAAACATTCAAAAGTGAATCGGTAAGGCAAGTCTACTGTTCCCTGTCACTCAAAATGTTTTCCTCAGCTGAACAGATGAATTGAATACAGACTGCAATACAATACTTTCAAAAAGCGAGAGAAGAGCAACATGATGATGAAAGGTCTCAAATACAGTACACTTCAACCTTGTACATAAGTGAGCGGTGGCCAGATGGCTCTTTTGAAAAATTGCCTTAAATCCCAGCCTTTACAGATGTGTATTCTTCCTCATTCCCCAGGTCATTAGGATCAAACTTGACAGTTTGATGTGTAATCTGCTCTTCTTCATATAAAGCAGGTGTTTGGGAGCACAAGCTACAATATGAAAGTACACATGAGTCAATGTCAAGGTGTGATTTCATAAAATAAAAATGTTATCACTGGCAGGTTTGAAACCTGCATTGTCCAAGAGAAACAGATTTTGACTCTGATGATTACTTGACAATTTCATCTTTAGCAGGTTTTGAACCCACACAGACAGATTTGGATTCTGTCACATCAACTGCTTTGCTAAGGCCAGTTAGATGTACTTCTAATGAATCCATTCAGAAGTTGATCCTCAATATACATTTATCTGCATTTTGTCAGCTCTAACATTAATTTCTAACATCTCCCTTGAGTCCAATCATATGTGATCCTTCATGCTATTGAAAAAACTGCCTTTAGGATTCACTTGTGAATGGGTCCATTGGAAGTGCATCTCACTGGTCTTAGCCAAGCAGTTGATGCGACAGAATCTAAATCTGTCTGCATGAGTTCAAAACTTGCTAAAGATGAAATTATCAAGTGATCACCAGAGTCAAAATCTGTTTCTCTTGAACTGTGCAGGTTTGAAACCTACCAACCTTAACATTTTTATTGTTATTCTATGAAATCACACCTTTACATTTCCACATGAATCTTAAAATGAATTAAAAGGCCTCAATTTTCTGGTGGCATTATGACTTTCTTGGAAGAGAAACCAAAAAAGTTGAAAGCTGGTGTATGGAACTATGTTCCACTGCTGACCTTGCAGCAACTTGTTTTATGATCCACGCTAACTGTTGAACATTGTCTGAGTCACTCTCTATCAATGATATCAGAGACTGATTCAATATTCAAGGCATGTTCTAATAGAAAAAATTGCAGCATTCAATGGGTTTCAGACAGTCAAGGTGCATTTTTATAAAATAAAAATGTTATCATCAGCAGGTTTCAAACCTGCACTGTCCCAGAGAAACAGATTTTGACTCTGATGATCACTTGACAATTCCATCTTTAGCAGGTTTTGAACCCACATAGACAAATTTAGATTCCGTCATATCAACTGCTTGACTAAGACTAGTTAGATTCACTTCCAATGAACCCATTCAAAAGTGAGTACTCAAGGTACATTTATCTGCATTTTATTAGCTCTTTCAATAGTATGGTCAGTGTTGGTTTTTTATCCTACTCTTATTGCAAAAAACACAGACTTCCTGCTGGAGCTCTTGACTTCAAGACCTGTTTATTTAACAATGTCCCTGAAAAAGTGCTAATGGAAGACCACCATAGTGGGTTCATGAGTGAAAACTGACAATGAAAGGATCACACAGTGTATTTTTGACACATAGTTCAATATATGACCAAAGTCTTGATGCAAACTTGGAAGGATAAGTACAATAACAATATAATTCCTTCTAAAGGTCTTGACTCGGTCGAAGAAGAAAAAGAGCAGATTACATATCAAACTTTCAAGTTTGATCCTAATAACCTAGGGAATTTGGAAAAACACAGATCTATTAAGGCTGAGATTCTTTATTATGCTTATTCAAGTGATTGCCAGAATCAAAATGTATTTCTCTTGAACTAAGCAGGTTTGTAATCTATATAATGATATGTCTTTTGCATTAACTCATGATTCATCACATTCCACCATTTTGGATTTCATAGAATAAAAATATTGTTATTGGTGGGTTTTAAACCTGCACAGTCAAAGAGAAACAGATTTTAAATCTGGTAACAACTTGACGCTGCAACATTCGACAAGTTTCAAACTTGTTGCACTCTGATGGAAACAGATTTTGATTCTGTTATGACAGCCACTTAGCTAAACACAACTGTGATCAGCTTACAAGCAAACCAACTATGGGCAGATTTTTCAAGCTGTGTTTTTATGGAAAATAAAATTTATCACTGGCAGGTTTCAAACCTGAGTAGTCCAAGAGAAACAGATTTTGACTCTGATGATCAATCACTTGACCAATTCATCTTTAGCAGGTTTTGAACCCACACAGACAGATTTAGATTCTGTCGTATCAACTGCTTGGCTAATACCAGTTGAATGTGCTCCCAATGAACCCATTCAGAAGCAACTTACATATTTTTGCCTATTTGCTGCACTTCTGACTTGCTTCTGCACACTGAGAACACACTTAGAATTATTTACATAGTACCATGTATCTTTTGACTCTGAAACAACTTTCCACCACTATCTTGCATATTGTGGGACTCAAAGTCTAAAATATGCTATAACTGCTATTTGACACTAAGTGCAGAGTGTTGCACTATTGTCTAAATACTTCTGGTTTATCTCAGAACTTCCTCAGGTCATTAGAATCAAACTAGAAAAGTCTGATGTGTAATCTGCTCTTTTTCTTCAACCAAGTTGAGACCTTTAAAGAGAATTAAATTGTTCTTGTACTCATCATTCCGAGTTTGCATCAAGAAGACTTTGGTCATACATTGAACTTTTGTGCCTTGAGGGTTCACTTCTGAATGAGTTCGTTGAAAGTGCATATCACTGGTCTTAGCCAAGCAGTCGATACAACAGAATATAAATCTGTCTGTGTGGGTTCAAAACCTACCAAATGTTAAATAGCCAGGTGATCACCAGAGTCAAAATCTGTTTCTCTTAGACCATGTAGGTTTGAAACCTGCCAAGGATAATTCTCATTTTCTACAAAAATGCACCTTGATATATGCTCATGATTGGTTTGCTTGAAAGCTCATCACACCTGAGACACACCCGGAAAAGTTCTGTAACCAGATGTGATACATATCTTGAGAAAAATAGTGCATATTTCAACCTATTTGTCTATTGTGCCAATGATGGACAGTCTTTGGATAAAATCACAAATATGCATAAGTGTCAAATTTTATTGATTAAATTCAGAGTAAGTTTGGCAAAAACAGGGAGAATTCTTTTTGTAATCTGCATACATTGCATATTAACTTCATTTTCTAAATTTAGTTACAAATATTGAAACACCTTCAAGGATACAATTGTTTGTGCATATTTCACACAGCATTTCTAAAGCCATATGGAGGATTAAGTCAGATATCAAACTTAAGGTCTGCCTAACTGATAAGTCCGAAAACAAAATTTAAAAATTATCATTATCTGTCAATGTGATACATTTGGTTACATTTTGTAGATATGTGAAACATATGTATGAGTGGCCCTCTGAGTACCCCTCTCAGACCACTCCCCACTTCAATTATTAGTTGTGACCACAGTATGATTACAAATATTCAATTCAACATCATCGATGGTCCACAGTGTTCACTACAAATCAACAAATACAGACGTCTTCATTTTTCTCCTACAACTATCACATCACCTTTTGACATACCTATCTCCTACTACCACTACTACTTGCAATGACGCAATGTGTAACCACACGCAAGCCAAAGTGAATCGAAGGTGCACCACCAAAAGTCAAAATGTTTGCAAGGATGTCAGTCGTGTCTAAAAAGAAGGGCAAAAGAGCCCCAAGGAAAACAGTCTGTCCTGACAAACCAGTTAACACGCAGCATGAGGGTCCAGCTGACCTGGCATATTTCCAGACTGCAGCGGAGAGAGTCAAAGAAAGATGGAGGGCGAGAGATGATGCCGTTGAGAAGATGCCGTTGAAGAGTCTGGCAAAGAAGAGGGCCAGGCCCATGGATGAAGAAGAAGAGCTGGAAATCGTGGAACCCCCTGCCAAGAGGGCACTCATAGGAAAGGAGGGGGCCTTGGATGAGGAAGACAAGGTGGAAATCGTGGAACACCCCGCCAAGAGGGCATTCACAGTCAAGGACAGGGCTGCAGATGAGGACAACATAGTAATTGTTGAACCCCCTGCCAGAGATGACAAGGAGCAGGAGGAAAGATGTTTGAGAAATAGACAGGAGAGGCAGAAGAGATTGTTGAGAGCTGGTTTGGTTTAGTACATGAAATACC